TTGCATTTCCCCAGGCGGCAGGTCGCGGGGCCTGGAGACCCGAGCTCATTTACAGCTGCCCGGGGTTCCCTCGCTCCCTCTCCATTGCTCTTCAACTTCTGCTCCCTCTTCACCATCTGTGTTCTGTTTTCCTGTGTCGGAGATTCTCCTCCCAGACGGCAAAGACAGAAGCAAAACCACAGCTGGGTGGTTCATCATCTCGCCCCCATCCACTCCAGGCTCTGACTTTCTTGTTCATCTTCTTGCCCCAAATGTTATTTCGTGAGGCCCGTTTTTGCTCTCTGAGTATTTCACAGGCCTGAGGGCAGAGCTGTAGCAGCACCCCGCTCTCCTTGGTCCCGTCCTTCTTACAAGGTCCTCTCTCCACCTCCTCACTGAGGCGTTCCCTGCGCTGACACAGAGGGGTTTTAGGTGCCTCCTTGATGTTCATTTGGATTATGCCTTATTACGTTTTCAGAACTTTGTTTTTTTAGAACTCTGTATTTTAAGTCATATTTCCTTTTAGCGCTGAGGTTTTCAACCCTGGGATTTGAAGCAAATCCCTCGGGCAGGGCCCAGGCATGGGGATTTTTTTTAGGTTCCCCAGATAATCAGAAAAGGAAAAAAAAAAGTGTTAAAATAGACTTCATCAAAATTGAAAACATCTGCTTATCCAAAGATACTGTTAAGAAAGAGAAGAAACAAGTCACAGATTGGGAGAAAATATTTGCCACACATATATCCAACAAAGGACGTCTATCAAGCATTTCTTAACAATTCCTGAAACTCAGTAATAAAAAGACAAACAGCCCGACTGAAAAATTGGCCAAAAAGCTTGAATGGGCACTTCACAAAGGAAAATCTATAAATAGCCGATAAGCCCATGAAAAGGGGTTTAACATCATTAGTTATCAGGGAAATGCAAAATAAAGCCAAAATGAGGTATCCACTAATAGCTAAAATTTTAAGAAAACTGACAACATGAGGATGCAGGGCAACTAGAAGTCTCATCCTTTTCTGCCAGGAGGACAAAGTTGTGTGACCACAGGACATTGGTCTGGCAGTTTCTCATAAACTGGAACATACACGTACCCAATGACAGAAACACTACTTCTGGGTTTTTATCCAGGAGAAGTGAAATTATGTACACTTAAAGACTTAGCACCTTCATTAATAATAGCCCCAAACTGGAAGCAATCCAAATGTCCCTCAACTAGAAGAGGAATGAGCAAATTGTGGTACGTCCATACAAAAAGGATGCTACTCAGTGATAGAAGAGGAGAGAACTATTGACTCACGTTACAACATGGGTGGACCTCAAAGTCACGATGCTGAGCGAAAGAATCCACACCCAGAAGAGTACTGACTATATGATTCCATTTTTAGGAAGTTCTGGAACAGGCAAAGTAAAAGGAATCAGAACAGAGGTTGCCTCTAGGAAGGGCGGTTCTGTGAGTGACTGTGAAGTGCACGGGGGATCTTTCTGGAGTGATGGATGCGTCCTATATCTTGATAGCGGTGTGAGTCATGAAGCACATGCATTTGTCCAAACTCATTTTCAAAGTGAGGTCTTACGTGTCGTACGTGAACGTACGTGTCGTACGTTCAATTTATATAAGTGATGCCTCGATCAGGGAAATTCAACGAACAAAAGTTCCCGGATGATTGTGCTGCACAGTAAGGGTCAAGGGTCTCAGTTTGCAAAATGTCTTCAGTCTTTTCCCTGCAGTTTGAAAACCTTGGTTCCTCCTTCCAGGCCCCTTGTCTGCAGTGCCCTGCATTCCAGCCTCTAATAATTAGGGACCCCAGACCATCGTGAACAACTCACCTAAGATGCTCTCATTTCCAACACACCAACTACACCTCTTGTCGGTCAGAAAACTAAAGCCCAGGGTCTCCTTGCTGAGGGAGGAGTAATGTGCCTGGACAGGTGCCCACCTGCCCTTCTTGTGGGCGACTGAGGCCTGTAGCTGACGTCTGGGGCGTTGAGGCCCTCTGGCCTTGCTCTCTTGTCTGCACGTGAAGGTTCGTTTCTTGTTTTGGGAAGGCGTCTTTCATCCGCTTCATAGAATGAGCCTCTTTTTGCCCCTAGACTTACTGATTTTGAGGTAGTTCAATGTGTTCTTATGTAAAGTTAAGTTCTGTGTCTCTTATTTTCTAGCTATACTTTTTTTTTGGATAAAACATACTTTAACAATTACTATTTCGGTCTAAATTCTCTCCTACCAAGACCCAGGGATAGCTGGAGGACATTTTTATGTGGTGTGTCTATCTTTTCAGGCTGTTTATTGCCCATCTCCTATGCCTTGCCCTATTTTCTTTTCTCTGGGAGATGTTGAGATCTGATTTAGCTTCTTTTCTGATCTTGTGTCAAACAGCTGTGAGCAAATACAGAAGCAGTATATCACTCGCTCAGCAGCTGTAGCCGCCCAGGACTCGGCTAAGAACAAAAAAGCAAACCACAAAGAGACTTTGAAGACGCAAAATAGATGTCACGAAATCATACACTTTCCTCGGAGGTGAGCCCCTTGGATTCTTACTCAGAGCCAGCTTACTGTTACCTGAGACACAGGTGTAACAATCCTCACAGCCTGGTTAGCAGCACCAAGTTAGAAGCAGAACAGAGGTGGGTCTGAGGGTTAGGGACATTGATAGCTGTAAAAAGGACAGCCAACTGGAGAGAAGAGACAATCCCTCCTACTTTCATTTTATCTTTTTTTTTTGGTGAGGAAGATTGGACCAGAGCTAACATCTGTGCCAATCTTCCTCTATTTTGTATGTGGGATGCCACCACAGCATGGCCTGATGGGTGGTACATAGGTCCATGTCCAGGATCCAAACCCGGGAACCCTGGGCCACTGAGTGGAGCACATGAACTTAACCACTATGCCACCGAACTGGCCCCACTTTATCTTATTAAAATAAAGAAGATAGAAAAATCTAGAGGCCGTTTGGTTTAGGAGCAACATGTAAAATAATTCTCAATAATCTCTGGAAGCATGACTATAGTTGAGGTCAACGCAAGACTGTCCTTTATGGTGATGCTTGTAAGTCACCAAGAGAAGGCTCAGTGTGCCCTGCACATCTCTCCTGAAGGAAGCAGAGAAGTGTGTAATACGGTTTAGAAAAGTTTCTATCAAATTGAGTGGAAATAAAGGTTTTGACAGTGAAATGAACAAATTTCAGTCTCTCAAAACTGACTTTCCTGGCGCCCTTCCTGACAGCTCTGGGTGACGACGTTGTACTGCCTGGTGGCAGGACCAGGCCCTCCTGGCACTCCTCCATAACCACCCCTTACCCCCGCTCTGGACATCGGATGGGGAAGTGCCCCCCGGAAACTGCAGCCGTCGTCCGTGCCTCTGGGCCTCTCTCTGCCACTCCCGGTGTTGCTCAGACCTGCCGCCTGTCCTCCTCCCAGCCTCTGCCGACTGCCGTCCCCCGTCTCCTCTGACCTCCAAATCCACAACACTCTGGTTTTCTCTGGATGGACTCTCTGCTCTGCAAATCCATCTGAGGCTCGTCTGTTAATCCCATGAATCTGAAATAAAAAGAAACAATGTGTACAGAAGTTCTATAGATGAAATGATAATGGTGTTTAGGATTGGTTTGAAAGCAATCCATCAGGGGTGGGGGTGAGGAAAGGCAAGGACAAAACAAGATGGCTATTGGATGTCACAGGAGCACGTCACATCACGTGCTCTCTTGATGTGTGTGAGAAAATGTCCCTTAAAAAAGCTACAAAAATGGGGCCGGCTCCGTGGCTGAGTGGTTAAGTTTGCATGCTCCACTTTGGTGGCCCGGGGTTCACGGGTTTGGATCCTGGGTGTGGACCTATGTACCACTCATTAAGCCATGCTGTGGTGGCGTCCCACATAGAAGAACTAGAATGACCTACAACTAGGATATACAACTACGTACTGGGGCTTTGGGGAGAAAAAAAAAAGAGGAAGATTGGCAACAGATATTAGCTCAGGGCCAATTTTCCTAAAAGAAAAAGAAAGTTACGAAAGGAAACATGTGATGTCATGCAACCTAATTTCAAGTTCTTGTTCTCATTTTCATCTGCTGCTGGACAGGGACTACACGGTCACTTTGCCATCAGCTCAAGATCACTCCAAATTGTTTCCTCAATAACTTCACCCAGGAAACAATATCTGGGAATTATTTTTGGAAAGATTCTCTCAAGTACGTCTGCCTCTTGCTGTCCAATATGCTTCATGGTGCAGATTATTCAGAGCAGCTTTAAAGTGTTGACATTAAGGGCCACTCCACGGAGCCCGGGACAAAGCTAGGTGAAGTGCCCCTTTACCTTTGAAGGCTTCTGGCGTCCAGGCCCATGTGGGCAACTCCGCTCCACCATCAGGATGTCGGAGAGGCGAGAGGCTGCCTTCGACCCATGTGAATTCTGTTCATTTTGGAACTTGAGTCTCCAGAAACCTGGCTCTCTTTGTCAAGAGTTTTCTTCCCTTCTCCTCCCTTGGCTCAGCTTTTCTTCCTTTTCTTTCCTCTCTCTTTCCTCCTCCCTTCCTTCCTTTTCTTCTTTTGAACCACGACTATCATCTCAAAAACCTAGAGCATGTTCATGTCAGACCTCATAGAGTTGTTGTAAAGATGCAGACACAAGCGTCAGAGAAAAGGAGAAATTTTTAATTAATTAGAATAACTTTGATCATAATTATAATAATTTTTTATTATGGACACTTTCAAACATATAAATGTCTGACTAATATAGTGAACCCCTTGTAGCTATCACCCAGCTGCAATAGATGCTCACGCAGGGCCAATCAATCTCCTCTTATCTGTCCACCTGCCTCCTCCATTCCCACCTTCCTCCTTCTCCTACTCCAGATTAATTTAAAACAAGTTCAAGGCATCATATTGTTTCATCTGTAAATGCTTTAGCAGCATCTCTAAGAGATGAGGTCTCTCTTTCTTTTCTAACATAATCACAGTACCATCATCGCATCTAAAAAATAACAATAATTTGTGAATATTATGAAATATTTAGGCAGCACTCAAAGTTTCCTTATTCTCTCACAATTTCTTTTTATTGTTGGTTTGCTCAAATCAGGATCCAAAGAAGATCCATGCATTGCATTCAGTTGAAATATCTCTTGTCCCTTCTAATCTGTAGGCTTCTTTGCTTTCTTTATTTTCCTTGCCATTTCTTTAGTGAAGAAACTGGGCTATTTGTCTTGTGGAATTTTCAACACTCTGGATCTTGCTGATCATGCTCATGGTAGGTTCAACACGTTTCTCTGTTACCCATAATTCCTGGAGCTTTGTTGTCATAGAAAAGACTTCACTTCCAAGACTGACAATTTCCATGTATGACATCCCGCCATAGTGAGTAAGGTCCCAAACTCTCCTGAGGCAATGAAAAAGAGGATAACTATTTTGCAGTAATGCCAAGTCTAGTCTCTGTTGACTTCACAAAAAATATCTGGCCAGAGTCCGTCATTAGCTCCGTGATGACTGTCAACTATAGTGTGTTGGGCCTCCCCTCTGTGCGTGAGAATGAGCTTGGACAGGTGGAAAGAACGTGGAATTGGGAGTCAGACAGCCCTAGATTTGTCTTTTATTAAGTACATGCCTTTTCTAGTTAACTTCGTATTTTTTAGTCTCAGATTCTTTATATATGAGGACAGCATCTACCTTACACACCTGCTGTGTCATATGTGTTCAATAATGGATCGTTTCTTTTCCCGCCTGGGTTAAAAAATGACAATTTGTGTTGAAAACCACAAATCTATAGAGTTTACTTAGATCCAAATGCAAATAAAGCCTCACCAGCTTCACAAAAAATACAGGAGATTTTTAAGTAAGCCTTAAGAAAAGGCGCGCAGAAAGGGGAAGGAACATGAGAACAGGAAACATTGCTCTCCTTCTCTCCTTGCACTCGGAAAATTTAGGAAATTCTTCCCAAAGGGAGCATGACCCATTTCAGCCTAAAAGTTCGCTATTCTCTAGACTGTGCTGGCTTGAGGACATATTTCTTTTACCAAAAGATGAGTTCACAGTAAATGACTCAGAAACATATGGATGAAATTTCCCCTAAGCCACACAGGGGATTAGAAATTAAGGGAAAGAGCGCTTGGCAACGCGCATTTGGGGTTTTGCCAAACGTAAGCCAACTGAGAAATAGTGAAGACACAAGGCAGATCGTGAACGCTGCCAAGTTTACACATCTTAGCGGGACAGAGATTTATAATTAGAGCCGCTCAGAAAAGCAGCGCCTCACGGATGGCAGAGGACAAAAAAGCCTTTGTCCCCAATGCCTCAACGTGGCTGCTACTTCCCAGATGGACTCTGTACGGTGAACACACCCTCTTAATCATCGGGATCCTCAAAGCCACCTCACCGGCCACAATTCGTCTCCTCCACGAGCCCCTGACATCCTCTGCAGGCCTCTTTTGTTTCCAGGCCATGCTGGATGTTTCTCGCAGTGGATTCCTGGATGAGGGAGAACAAATCTTGACCGGCGTTCTCAAATGACAGGGAAGAGCTGTGATGGGAAAGCACGACAGAGCAACGTCCTTCTGCGACATACACGGTTCTTGTCCGCTGTCTCTTACCTTTGTCACCTTGCCACATTTCTCTGCTTTCCAAGGGTTTCTTTCTCTGCAAAATGAAGGCGTTAGATCAGCTGTTCTTGAACCGTGCTGCCTGGAGCCTTTTCAAAACCTGGTGGGGCCCAGTGGAAGGGGGCGAGGACATCCTGAAAGGGGTTCTCTTCAGACAGGGGAGGGGGCCCCCGCTGAAGATTTCAAGTGCAGAGAGGGCTCTGGGGTCAGACAGTTTGAGAATCATGAGACTGGACGGAGTCTCACGTCCCTGGTGACCTGACAGTGCCGGTGTCGTGTGCCACACTCCTGTCTCCACCCGCTACACCGGAGATCACTAATGACACACTGTGGTTTTTCTCTCCAGCATTTTTCAGATGCTCCTGGGTACCAGGCACTGTGCTCAGCACGGGGCATTTAGCAGCGAACAAAACAGACCTGTCCCCGCCCCTGCGGAGCTGAGAGGCTAGCAGACGCGGCTGGCATTAAACAAACAAGTGGATGTGGAAATCCAGATCAAGATACGCGTGCCATGAAAGACAAGCCCTTGGTTGCAGGGTGAGCCGGCCTGGGGTTTGAGAGATGCTGTAGAATGCTTCCTCTTCGAAGCTTCTCTGCCACCAGCCTGGCCTGGCTTGCCACTTGCCACTCTATGGAAGAGCTAATCATTAAGTCACTTAATGGTTTCATGAGAAGGACGCCTCTTCTACCTGACAGGGGAGCGTCGCGAACAGAGCGCTCAGGAGCTGACGGATGTAGCCGGCTGTAGCTGCCCGAAGCAAAGGGACGGCCACGAGGGAACAGACGGGGCCTTTAGGTGGGCAAGGGTGGGAAGCTTTACAGCTTGGTGGGCCTGGAGGGGTGTGAGAGGTTCAGAAAGGCGGTGACCCAAAGTGCCAGTGAAGGCCACACCAATGACTCCCTTCGCTTATTTCACTCTTGTGTCTAGAATTCTCCTTCTTTTCCCCACTCCTCACTGAGTTTAGTATGCTACACACAGTATGTGTTAGTCATTACTAAGTCTTAATTCTATGGCTATTTCTTTGCCTCCATCTAGCTCTTTCTCTTTGTACATTTTGTAAAGAGAAAAGGGATTTAAAAAAATTTCTGGACACATTTATGTGGTGCCTACTGTGGGTAAAGGGGCAGTGCTCACTGGCACCAGCCGGTGGTGTGCCTGACCTCTTGTCTGGGGGCAGCGGCGGGGGCGTGGAAACAGGCAGAGGGAGACTGGTGTGTTGGCTGAAAGAGTTAAGACTCCTGTGGGGCACTAGATGGCAACATTTCTCCAAATCTAAACTCAGCAAAGGCGAGGACCTGCTGACAGAAGGTCAGCGCTGCGCGGCTGGCAATCCTAATACAGTCTATGAAATCTGAACCTGTAGAGCTGAGAAGACAGAAGCCAGATCCATGGGAGGGCGATCCTCACAAGTGCATCTCTTGGGCCGGTGGGTGGTCCACAGGAAGCGTTCGATGGTGTTAGCTATGACTACTATCACCACCACCACCACTACCGCCATCACCACTTATCACCACCACCACCACCACCACCACCTCTACCATCACCACCATTACCTCCACTATCACCACCACCACCACCACCATCACCACCATCACCTCCAGCACCTCTACCATCACCACCACCACTACCACTACCACCATCACCACCTATCGCCACCATCACCAAACCACCATCTCTACCATCACCACCATTACCTCCACTATCACCACCACCACCACCACCATTACCACCACCATCACCTCCAGCACCTCTACCATCACCACCACCACTACCACTACCACCATCACCACCTATCACCACCACCACCACCACCACCACCATCTCTACCATCACCACTATTACCTCCACTATCACCACCACCACCACCACCATCACCACCATCACCTCCAGCACCTCTACCATCACCACCACCACTACCACTACCACCATCACCACCTATCGCCACCATCACCAAACCACCATCTCTACCATCACCACCATTACCTCCACTATCACCACCACCACCACCACCATTACCACCACCATCACCTCCAGCACCTCTACCATCACCACCACCACTACCACTACCACCATCACCACCTGTCACCACCACCACCACCACCACCATCTCTACCATCACCACCATTACCTCCACTATCACCACCACCACCACCACCACCACCATCATCACCACCACTACCACCACCACCACCACCACCATCACCACCACCACCACCACCGCCGCCATCAACACCTATCACCACCATCACCAACACCACCACCTCTACCATCACCACTATTACCTCCACTATCACCACCACAACCACCACCACCACCATCACCACCATCACCACCATCACCACCATCACCACCACCACCAACACCACCACCTCTACCATCACCACTATTACCTCCACTATCACCACCACAACCACCACCACCACCATCACCACCATCACCACCATCACCACCATCACCACCACCACCAACACCACCACCTCTACCATCACCACCATTACCTCCACTATCACCACCACAACCACCACCACCACCATCACCACCATCACCACCATCACCACCACCACCAACACCACCACCTCTACCATCACCACCATTACCTCCACTATCACCACCACAACCACCACCACCACCATCACCACCATCACCACCACCATCACCTCCAGCACCTCTACCATCACCACCATCACCACCACTACCACCACCACCATCACCACCTATCACCACCACCACCAACACCACCACCTCTACCATCACCACCAGCACCACCACCATCACCACCACCACCACCTCTACTATCACCACCACCACTACCATCATCACCACCTATCACCACCATCACCAACACCACCACCTCTACCATCACCACCATTACCTCCACTATCACCACCATCACTCCCGCCATCACCACCACCACCACCATCACCATCACCAACACCACTACATCTACCATCACCATCATTATCACCAACCACCACCACCACCACCTATCACCACCATCACCAATACCACCATGTCTACCATCACCACCACCACCACCACCATGACCACCATCACCACGATCACTAACTGAGTCACACAAGTTGCTATTGTTTTTCTTGGTGCTAAAAATTAAAATTTCATTTAAACCAATTCTGGATGGAGAGATCTAGCTAGAGATACATACCTTTTCCTTCTTTATTTTTCTTTTTCGCAAATATATCCTGCAACTAGATTAGTGAACTGCTCCCTGCTATAGAAACTTAGAAGAATTGCTTTGATGAAGATGATTTGTACTTGACATACCAATTTTTTGGTAGATAAGTAGTTGCTTCTCATCTGCTTAAGCAATATTTGAAAGCCCAGGGTCCTTGTATGTGGACTGAAAGTTTCCCCTGGAGTTTTGTTTGCGTTATCAATTTACTTAGCACACTCTGTCTGCTTAGCAACCACCCCACTCCCCAGGCCCTGTCGTTTTAATTAGCAACCTGTCACTGTAGTCCAGTGTTTCTGTTGAGGCACATCCACTGACCCACAAAGAGTCAAAAGATATCGCTTAATCCAGAACAACATTTGCTGAACTTCTCATACAATTGGGCTGGTCCGCTGAACTGTTTCTTGGGGATCAGAAATGGAATCTAGGTGGGTTTCTGTGCAAGACCTAGAATCAAGGTGTTCAAAGAGTGAGAATGGCACAGGGAAAGAGTGGCAAGGCGGAGCCACAGGACTGAAAGCTGACGGCTGGCTACCTGTTTTGAGCCACCTCTTTTGTGCCTTAAAGGCCAGTGCCCCCCCATGGCTGCCACCTGGCAGGTGTAGACTTTTGCGTAGGTCTATTCATGTGTTCAATCAGCACATAATGATTCACTTCTAACATATGCCCAGCAAGGTCCATGCTCTAGAGAGACAGCTGGGAGCAAGATATCTGCCCTAATGACGCTTGCATACCGGCAGAGGAACAAACAAAATAAATAAACAAACTGCTAAATGTCGTTTGGGTTTGATAAATGCCAATGTGGAGAATGAGGGGGATTTGGACATAGTGACAGATAATGCATGCGGTGTGAGAGTGTGTGCGATTCCGTTGGCTAATTTAGCTAGATTCGATCATCCCGGAAGGCTGCTCGGAAGGGGTGCCATCTGAACAGACAGACCTGAGTGAAATGAGGGTGTGAGTCCCATGAGAGTCCCTGAGCTGAAATGAAACCACACGTCACCATTGTCATGAGCGGACCTAGTCAACGTGGTCATGTGCACGGCTCTCAGGTGCTTGGCAGTTGATGATGGTATTGAAAGAAGCATGAGGTAAAGAAGGGGGAACGAGTCCCCTGCAACTTTGCCCCCAGTTTAGAAAGTAAATCTTCTACCAAATTTGGCCTTGCACACAGAAATTCATTAAGCAGTATTTTATTAACAGACTCAAAAAGTTTACACAAACTGGTGAGCTCAATGGAGACCCAGGACTCTGTGCTTTTAGGAGTTCTTTCTACCGCCTTGTATGAGAGGGTCACGTTAGGGAGCGGGAACAACACCCAAGAGGCAGGAGTCCGTTACACGGAGACTCTGCAACAGGCGCCCAGAGCTCCTCCTGACCAACGCACAGATGCTGGACTGGACACGATCAAGCTGCAGAGGCCATCCCTAAAGACAGACATTTGTGATGGTTCATATTCTGTGTCAGCTTGGCTAGGCCACTGTGCCCAGCATCTTGGTCAAACACCAGTCTAGATGTTACTGTGAAGGCATTTTTGGATGTGATTAACACTTACATTAGTAAACTTTGAGTAAGGTAGATTACCCTCCATAATGTGGGTGGGCCTCATCCAATCAGTTGAAGGTCTCAAGAGCAAAGACAGAAATACCCCAAAGAGGAAGGAGTTCTGACTCCAGACTACAACATAGAGATTCTGCCTGAGTTTCCAGCCTTCGGACTCATTAACTGACTCAAGAGTTGCACTAATAGCCCTTCCTTGAAGCACCAGGCTGCCAGCCTGCCCTTCAGATTCTGGACCTGCCTCCCACAATCATGTGAGCCCGTTCCTTAAAATAAATCTTAATTTCTCTTAACATTCCCCCTCTTTTCTTCCAGATGCAGTGGGAAATAGGCTAGCGGCACATTTCCTCAGCTTCATGGTTCTATCCTAAGCGTAAGCACTCTTCAGATATGAAGAAAAAGTGTCCCAGTGTCCCAGGTCTTTGAGCAGATCAGGAGGGTTCTGGCTAAGCTGGGGACAGAGAACTCTGAGACAGCTGCTGGTTGAAGCGCCCGGTCCGGGTGTCTTGTTGGGGTAGCCCCAGCACTCACTCAGGGCTATGAGCCTCAGTGGTTCCCTGTGCCCAACTCGTCACCAGTCAGGTTCCATGGGAGCAGGTGCTGAGACAGAGTTTGGGGTGCAAAATGTTTATTAGGGATCAAATCCTGTGGAAGGAAGGGGGAGAACCCGTCATCGCAAACAAACGCAAATAATGTGACCAATTAACACCTATGGCCAGCTAGTTCTGCTTAAAAATAAACAACTCAGAGTAAATGAATATCGCAGAGTACAGATGATCTTTACACTTCGTGTAGACTGACTACACTTGTCTCCCCTTACTGGTTTATCAAGGGGACGATGTAATTAGGTGTTTATCTATTGCCATATTGATACAGCTTTATAATCTACACACCGAAGGGAATTATTAATGCTAATAACTTAAGATATTATGAGTGCTAATAAAATAATTACTACTACTTATTAATTAATAGTAACTGCTCTATTTGAATCTGTTTTGTTAGATTAATTTAATTCAATAAAATTTAAGGTAAATTTTTTAAAAAAGAAGGGAGAAGGAGTCCAGATTGGGCAGAGGAAAAGTTGAAGGGTAACGCATGTGGGCGCAGCCTCAGCCAAGCCGATGTTGAGCTCCGACTGAATATGCCCATCAGGGTTGTTTGCATTGGGTCAGAATGGCTGGGCTCTATCCCCACCTGGCTCAGTCACTGGATAAGGGCTGCCCCAGGGCAGGTGGCCTTGGGCAAGGGGGCGCTCTATAACTGAAACCAACCTTGAAGGAGCAGATGGCTGCAGATGTCTATTGACCACACTCCCCACAGCTGGGCAGCGAGCCCTTTCTGGAATAGCGGGAACCTGGGCCACCCATCTCTGTGTCCACCATGCTGCTCACTGAACAGCGAAGGATGGTACACGGCTGAAATGTTTTAGCCAATCCACATATCTCAGATACCTTTAATATCACCCATGAGCCCGTTTCTAATATTCATCACACTTATTAACAATGAACTAATTTCAATGGTAAAAACCCATTTCTGACATTGCCTGTGCTCATGAACAAAGCCTCAGGTATCCAGTGAGAGATCGATCACAGAAGCACTTGAGGCGGCTGCTTCTGGAGTGTGGCTTTTCTGCTGAAATACCAGCAGACTCCCCAGGCGTGGAATTTTCCATTAGAGCAGCCGACGGCCCTTAGAGGAAAAGCTTAAAGCTTAAACGACCCGGCACACACATAATATGACTGACTCTACCTTGCTGAAGTATTTTAAAGTCAACCAGACATCCAACAATGCTCATTTAGACACGCTTGTCTTTAGAGGCCTTGACACCTCCTCTCTCGTCTTGTCCAGTCGTACTGTCTTAGGGGTTATTTAGTTGCTCAGAACAGAAACTACTCAAACTAGTTCAAGTTTACTGGGGGTTACTGTCAAGAGTCAAGGACGGGACGGCAACCTCCGGACTGAGGTTGGCAATGATGGCTCCTTGGCTCATGAGAGTGGGCCTGGGCTGTTGGGGTCTCAGCTGTCCCTGCCTCTCTCATGGGGCCTCAGGCTCTCCTGCTCGCTGCCTGTCTCCGTGCATCTGCGCCCGTCTCCTGCTTCTCTCTGCCTTTCCTCTGACTCATCGGCATACTCCCCCAGTCTTGATTCTACACAAGCACGGGCATTTGACCATCTCCATGTCTCTTAGGTCAATGTCTTGAGAGAGAAAAAGAGAAAGAGAAAATAAGACTGGCACAGCCCCGCCTGTGGCCTGGGGTCCTTTGAGTTGGTTGAGCACGTGGTCCAGTCATCTGTGGCCAGGGGTGTGACACGAGCAGGGTCAATGGCGCTCTGCCTTCTAGGGGCCATGAGAGGGCAAATTACCCAAGAAGGGAATGAAGATAGGGAGGCTCTGACCAGCACCTCTGACATGTTTACCCCAATCCTACTTACTGGTAGTACAGTATTTTGCCAGAAAATCCCCTTATATGCATAATCCTGTGTGTGTGTGTTTGTGTGTGTACAGGTACACGCACGAACCACGTGTAGTTGGTTAAGCCAACCCAAGAGTCACTGCCAAAGGTCAGGTATTCAAATGACAACATTCAAGCATACACGTGATGTGTCTTCCTTGATTCGGTTCACAAAGAAATATCTTCCCGCTATCTTTCTCGGAGACCTCATCTGCTACAGATACGACCTTCTTGGCTGTAACCCAAGGAGGTCTGAACTGACCCTTCCTCAGCGATGGCCACTTCCGCCAACTCGGTGCCGCTATGGCTAGAACGGTGCAGGCGCCCTCACAGACCGCGCCGCGTCACAGGCTGTGAGTCAAACAGCTCCAACTAACCCTAGTCTACGGTGGCTTCTCCAAGGAAACTCTGGCTGTGTACCGACAGAACAACCAGACCTCAGCAGAAGCTGTCAGCCCCGGATCCGACTCGCGAAAGCAGAGCTGTCCTCCCGCCTGTACACAGAACCCTCTGATTGTTCTCAGCGTTTCCTTTCATGCCTGTTCGCATCATCTGGAATTTTCCAGGGACGCTGGTGCATCAAGTAGTCTTCACTGTGAGGGTTAAGCACAGGGGAGACCGGAGTTAAGACTTATATTCACCTGTTCCCCCTTCTGCCTGCCCTCTCAAGTTCCTATCTAGAGAACTCATTAACTTCTATGAATAATTAGATACGTGTTTGCTAGAATATTCTCTCCTGGAAGCCTCTTGGAGAAGTGTCTAAAACTGAAGGCATTGAATAAAAACTTCTTTCTTTTCAGTTTTCCCTCAATCGAGCTGCCCTGGCAAGTGTTCTCAAGGGCCAAGGGGTCCAGACCTGTGTGACTAGGCCAGTTGTGCTGCCCCTTGCACATGGCCCAGGTGACCTCCACCTGTGACAGGACAGGGCCCCAGGGCACGCAGGCTGCTGCCCCCGCTGGCCCCAGGGTCCCTCTAGCTTTGTGGGTGATTGCACGTGCCAGCTTCACCATAGAGCCCCTGACTTGAAAATGGCTCCCTGGCTCTCGGATCAGCCATGGCTCTTGGGGGTCCCTCGCTGCCGGGGTGCTGGTCTGGCTAACTCAGGCATCTATCTGCCTTCACGGCCCCCTTCCCAGGCCTTTGCCTGGGAGCCACCAGGGGCTGGGGCTTTTCTTATCTCCCTGAACAAAGGCCACAAAGTGTGCATTCACCCTGTCCCTTCTTCCCAATCAAGCTGGATGACTCATGGGCAAGAGCTAGGGGGCCCACTAGGGAGGTCTCTGAGCCTAAAACCCCGAAGAGCCCGTCCCTCTCTGAGAGCCAGGAGCACCCACACCCCAGAAACCAGTTCCCTTCCTTCCTGATGGCCGAACCCCTCCCCACCCCGCAGCTCAGCGATTCACGGAGGGTCTTCTTGTTACAGCAGCAGACAACGCACAAACGGAAGAGAGGACAAGAGCAAACCAAACCAGACTTAATTCTCCATCCTGTAGCTTTTTCCCCACCCCTCTCCGCCCACAAACTCCATTTCCGTCCCTTTTCTTTCCCACGAACATGGAAGTAGGCATAAGAAGGGGAGCACCAGTCTATGCAAGAGCACCGCGTGCTGTGTGTGCAGGTGGATGTTCTATATAGTCCAGTAATCAGCATGGAGGGACTGCCAGTGTGGGGACCTGGAGCCCCAACTTGGGCTTTGCCTGGGTTTGAAGCCTGGCTTGATCACCTCCTACATCTGTAACCTTGGGCTAGTTCCTGAACCTCCCTGTGCCTTGGTTTCCCCATCTCGTAAAATGGGCGATGATACTAGTCCAACAGCCACAGTGTTGTCGAGTGGACTAAATTAGTTCATACACGTTGAGCACGGAGAAGCGTCTAGTACATAGAAGGTGCTGCGTAAACGCTCTTATTATTACAGAGAGCGAGGATAGAACGTTTCTGTTCTCTATGAACTTGGTTATCACAGCTTCTATTGTAAGCGGGAAGGAAGTCTAACTTATAAATTATTTATAATGAATACCTAACTACTTACAAAAAAGATTTAAAGCAGCCGAACGACGACATTAACCAGAAAATTCGTCGATGAGGAATTTGTCTGTCATTCTCTTGTCAAGGATAATAATTTTTAACCTGAGGGAGAAACTGCCTTCCTCTTTGCTGGCTGGTTCGTTTCTGGTGGCGGCGTAGCGGGGCGTGTCCTGACCATCGTGGGAGACCTGACGAAATAGCAGAGTGGGGATGCCCTGGGGAAGGCAAGGGTCCGGTTGATGTGCCAGGACTGGACACGTCACACGGGTGGTCCCTGCGATTCTCGCCGTCAGCTTGGCAGTGGAGAAGGCACTGTCAGTCCCACTTTGCAGATGTGGAAGCAGAGTGAGGAGGTTTAAGTGACCCGTCCGGTCACCAAGCAGGTAAGTGGGAGAGCAGGGTTCAGGGCTAAGTCCGCCGCCAGACCCACGGCTTCCTGCTCCGTCCCCGTCTCCCTTGTGATGGACGAGACGCATAGCTTCTCCAGATTCTCCAGAGGGAAAACGAGAGGAACTGTGACCTTCTGGCTCTTCACATGGGGATGAGGGGGGAAAGGCCATTCGCCTGGGCGTCACGCAGTTTAAGCTTGTGGAATTCATGTAATTTTGGACGTGCAGCGGAGGCCGTAAATAATGAGCCTGACCTTAATTCAAACACGAGGTGATTATGTTCGACAGAGGAATGTCCCCAGGGCTTTCACTGACTCCTGTTGTCACCGAAAGTTCGGTCTCTGATCCCGATGCCAATCCAAATAATGAGAATGGAGTCTTGGGTGAAAAATGAAAGGCTTTACCTCGCCAGGCAGAGGGAGCAAAGCGAGGGCCAGTGCCCCAAAAGTTGCTTTCTCCCCACTAAGAAATGGGTAGGGGTTTTTACTTAGGGTTTTAGGTAGGGGAGGGGACCATGGCCTTCCTGGTCAGCATTTTCCCATTGGCTTGTGTCTGGGGCTGCTTCCAGTGGAGGAGACAAAGGCTTTCTCAGATGAGCGTCCTTGGCTGTTTGTCTCCACAGTGGAAGGTGGACTCTGACGTCAGGAAGCCGAGAAGTTGGGCCTGGGAATCTTCGGTTTCTTGATATTCTCTGGACAGTAGTTTCTCTGTAAAAGGACTTCAAGGTCCTGGGATCAGCCTCAATGTTAGTGAGAGCCCAGCGTGAAGTCATCTGCACTTGAACAATTTGTAACTTCTATTTGGCTCTATAACTCAGGGGGTCAGAGGTTAAAGAAGCAAGCATTTACATATGAGCGTAACTAAAGACCCAGGGAATATGTGCCTTTAGTTTTAACCCATCTATGCTGGGTTCATTGTAGGGGAACCAACATCAGGGCTGATATTAACTAAGAGCAGGTGACACTGTGCTTCCCCTTGGTGGTCCGCGGATTACTGACCTCTCTGTGCAAGCCTTCGTCCTGGATCCAGGCATCGTGTCGCTACACAGAATCTGGCTGCTGGTTTGCACTCAGGTCCAGCACTCCTTTGTCGACTCGTTCATCTGTGTAGCAAGTGAACGGTGCCGTGACTCGCACTGGGCTACAGTCAGGAGCAAAGCAGACATGGGCCCTGCTTCGCAGTGCTCTCAGTCTGATGACTGTAGACAGATGTCCTTGCCGAGAAATGTGCAGTGAAAACTGTGCTAAGAACAAGGAATGAAAGGAGCGAGGGTGCTCAGAGAGAGAGGGATCAGGACTGGGGGGGTCAGTGAAGTTCTCTTTGAAGAGGGATGTTTAATCGGAGATCTGCAGTTGAAAAGGAGCCAGTCCTGGGGAAAGTAGAGGGGAAGGATGTTCCAGACAGAGGAAGCAGCATGTGCAAAGGCCCTGGGCCAGGAAGGGCTTGGTACCCTTGTGGAGATACAAGGCCAGTGCGACTGTGGGGAGTAGAGGTGGAGGGAGTCCCCTGGGGTGGGGTAGTTAACAGGAAATAAGGGGGAAATAGAAACATTTTAAACAGTACATGGAAATATAATCATTAAATACAGACTGTAGGAACATCCACAGGAAAAATGACCCAGTTTAACAAACAACAAATAAAGTAGAAGGGAAAAAAAGGTACAGGGGAAACCCATAGGTTGAGAGAGTTAAGAAGACACACCAAGGATGTGGGGAAATTGGAGCCCTCATATGTACATTGCTGGTGGGATTGTAAAATGGTGCTGTTGGCAGCGACAGCAGTCCTGGAGTGTGAGACGTGCACAGAATTGACGGAAATGCCTGCCCCCTATCCTCACACACGTCATTCACTGGGATCCTGAACAATTTATGTCATGGGTTGAATTTTGTCCTCCAAAAAGATGTGTTTGAGTTCTAACCCCCCAGTACATCAGAATATGACCATATTAGTATCAGTCGGGGTTCTTCAGCGAACGAAAACCAATAGGATATACGTACATATCTATTATGTAGATGAGAGAGAGAGATTTATTTTAGGGAGTTGGCTCATGTGATCGTGGAGCTTGGCAAGTCCAAATCTACAAAGTAGGCTGGCAGGCTAAGGATCCAAGGAGGAGTCACTGTTTTGGTCCAAAGGCAGCCTCCTGCTGGAATGTCTTCTTGCCTCAAGGAGGTCACTCTATGTTTTGTGAAGGCCTTCAACCCATCAAGTTATGGAGAGTAATTTGCCTTACTCAGAGCCTACTGATTTAAATGTTAACCTCATGGAAAAAAATGCCTTCACAGAAACATCTAGACTGACGTTTGAGCAAATATCTGGGTACCATGGTGTCATCAAGTTGACACACAAAACCAACTATCACAATGACTTCATTTGCAGATTTAATTAGTTAAGTTAAAATGCAGTCCTAGGATGGGCCCTAATTCAATGACTAGTGTCCTTGTAAAAGGGGAAATTTGGGCACAGAGACAGACACGCACTCAGGGAGAACGCCGCATGAAGATGGAGGCGGGTGTCAGGGGATGCCAGCCAACCACCGGAAGCCAGGAGAGGAGCACAGAGCAGGTTGTTCCCCACCGCCTTCACAGGGAAGCAGCCGTGCTGACACCTTGATCTCAGACTTCCAGCCTCCAGAACCGTGAGAAAAGCAAATTTCTGTTGTTCCAGCCGCCCAGTTTGTGATACTTCGTTACGTCGGCCTTAGCCTCCCATAATCTAAACAGCGCAGAAGTAGAGAACAAAGACGCCAAGCTCCTTGGCTTCAGAAGGCATTATCTAGGCACAAACAGAAGAAAAATCTGAAAGAAGATGTGAGCAGGCAGCCCCCTTTCTCCCCGTCTTCTCTCCATCCACCTCTGCCCCCAATTCCAAGCCAAGGGATAAAACCCTCAACCTGAACAGAGGGAGGAGAGCTGAAGAGGAAATAAGAGAGTGAAATGCAGTGCGGACACAGAATGTGTCCATTACCCCAGGCGAGTGCCCCTGTCCCTTTGCAGTGGCCCCTCCCTCCACCTCTGGCCCTAGGCAACCATTGATCTGTCTTTTGACACTATAGGTTGGTGCCCATTTTCTAGAACTTTTATGCAAGTGGAATCAAACAGTACATATTCTTTGCGTCTAACTTTTTTTTGCTGAGCACGATTTTGAGATTCATCCACGTTGGTAATGTTATCAGTAGTTCGTTTCTTTTTTTTTGTGAGCAGTATTCTATTTCATGAATGTACCACAATTTGTTTATCCACTTGTCAGTTAATGAACATCTGGGTTGTTTCCAGTTTGGAGCTCTTATGAGTGAAGCTGCTATGAGCATTCATGTACAAGTCTTTGTGTGGACATATGTTCTATTTCCTTTGGGTAAACAGTTAGAAATGGAATGGCTGCATTGTACGGTAGGTTTATTTTTTTTAACTCATTTTAATAAATGAGATATAATTTACATACCATACAATTCACCTATTGAATTCACCACCTCAAAAAGAAGTTCTCTTAGCTATTATTCCTCCATTATTTCATGCCCCACACTTCTAGCACCAAGCCACCACTAGTCTACTTTCCATCTCTAAGGATTTCCCTATTCTGGACTTCTGTATGAATGGAATCACACAATACACGGTCTTTTGTGACGGGCTTATATCACTTGTCGTCATGGTTCATTACGTACTTGGTTCATTCCTGTTGTAGCACCTATCTTCATTCTTTCATTTTTAATATTCATTTTTTTAGAACAATTTTAGGTTCACGGCAAAATTGAGAGGAAGCTACAGAGATTTCCCATATACCTTCTGCTACCACACATGCATAGCCTCCCCCATTATCAACATCCCCCATTATCAACGTCCCCCATTGGAGTGGTCCCTCTGTTACAACAGATGAACCTACACTGACACATCATTATCACCAAAGTCCATAGTTTACCTTAGGGTTCACGCTTCGTGTTTTTATGGCTGAATAATATCCCATTGTATGTGTATGTCACATTTGTTTATCCACTCATCAGTTGATAGACATTTGGGTTGTAGGTTTATTTTTAGGAAACTGCTGAACCGTGTTCCAAAGTGGAGGTACCATTTTACATTCCCACGAGCGGTGTCTGAAAGTTCCAGCTGCTCCGCATCCTCCCCAACGCTTGTTATGCTCTGCCTTCCCTGATGAGAAGTGAGGGATCCCCAGAACTGCTAACTAGGGGACTGAGGGTCTAATCAGGCTCAGAGCTGTCGACAGGCTCTCCGGTCTTGTCATCTGAGGGCAGCTGAGGGGAGTAAAGACGCAGCTTCCTGCTTAGGTGAAGGCAGAGAGGGGAGAGCACTGGGCACTTCAGCCTGGAGACTCAGTCTCACTTCGGGTGCCCAGAGGGGGTTAGTGACACTGGTGACACAGTCCTCCTCAGCCCCATGCTATGTGCAGCATGAGATTCCTATGTACAAAGCTGAAGGGCAAGAACATCCGGTCACCCACATCCATGCAAATGAGGGGACAGGGTCACAGCAGGGGCAAGTGCCATCTCTCTCTTGAACGGCCCGTGCTGGGCTGGGGGCACCTTCCCCCCCTTTGCTCCAAGGGGCAGTGGGCGCAGGCTAGCGGCACGCTTCCTGAGCTTCACGGTTCTCTCCTAAACGGAAGCGCTCTTCGAATATGAAGAAAAAGTGTCCCAGTGTCCCGGGTCTTTGAACAGATCAGGAGGGTTCTGGCTAAGCTGGCGCCAGAGAACTCTGAGACTGGAGTTCTCTGCTGGGAGGAGACGTTCCCTCTGGATCCCTCCCCACAACTGCAGGAGCCAGCCCAAAGAGATCAGAGGCCCACGTTTGAAAATAAGACCGTAAAAGCATGTCTTAGTCCAGTCAGGCTGCTATAACAAAATACCACAGGCTGGGTGGCTGATAAACAAGAGACATTTATCTCCCAGAGCTCTGGAGGCTGGAAGTCTGAGCTCAGGGCGCCAGTGTGGTTGGGTAAGCCTTCTTCTCGTTGCATCCTCACATGGTGGAGAGGGGAGTGAGGTCTCTGGGGCCTCTGTGGGGTCTCTTACAACAGCACTAATGCCATTTCCTCGTGACCTAATCACCTCCCACCTAATCACACCATCACATTGGGTTCGGCATTAGGATTTCAACACATGAGTTTTCAAGGACTCAAACATTCAGGCTATGGGAAAATACTAGAGGAAAATGTGAAATTAAAAAGATTATTTCGGAGAGAAGTCCTGTCTAAGTAGTACACAAAACCCAGAAGTCATAGAACATATAAGATGATAGATTTGACTATAGAAAAAAAAGAAAAATTTTACATGGCAGAAATCTCTATAAACAAAGTCAAAAATCAAATGGTAAACTGGGAAAAATATTTGTAACGCATGTTACAGACAAAGTGCTCATTTCCCTAACTTACCAAGACTTCCTACAAACCAGTAGGCAATGTACCAACAGTCTAGCAGAAGAATGGTGGAAATGAACAGACAATTCACAGAAAAGGAAACACTGTCCATTCTTAAATCTTGGAAAAAATGCTCACCTCACTCATGAGAAGGCAAATGCAAATGGAAAAGAGATCCTGTTTTTTGCCTAACAGATTGGCAAAAAGTAAAACGTCTTATAACACCGTTCTGGTAAGGTTTGGGGGGACTCTCCCACATTCTCCCATGTTATTAGTAGAAGCAGAAATTGGAACAACCTCTTTGAGGAATATTTTGACAACATCTGTCAAAAAGTTAAACGCACATTTCCTTCAATTCAGCAATTCCATTTTTAGGAATTTAATCTACAGATACACTCTCACAGGTATGATATTATGTATGTTCAAGGATATTTATTGCAACATTATTTGTAATAGAAAAAGGCTGGAAACAAAGCACACATCCATCCTCAGGGGACAGGATAAACTCTGTAAGGCACATCTACATAACGGACGGCTATGCCGTTATTACAAAGAATGCGGCTGCTCTGCATGCACTGATAGGTTAGAATTTCCAAGATATATATTAAGCCGAAAACAACCTAGGTAAAGTACAGAGTATGCGATATGCTTCCATTTGTACTAAAGCAAAGACTAAGCAAAGGGTGTATGTTTGTATGTGCAAAGGCTGCCTCTGGAAGGACCACAGACCGACAATCACAATAGCCCCCGAGGAGGAAAACAGCTTCTGGGGAACCGGGCTGGGCAGGAAGATTTACTTTTCATTGATTACTCTTTGGTTACTTGGAATTTTGTATTGCGTACATGTGTCATCCATCTAAAAAATAACTTTTTCTTCTTAAAAAATTCATCTCGTCCTGGGATAAGTCAGCTGGCAGAATACCATGGGGTGAGCCGTGCTATTTCATGTCTCTACACTGTTTATTCCCTTTGCCTGGGATGGCTTTCCTTCTCATTTCTCCAGCTCCTTTTGGAAACTTTCTCCAACAGCCTCCTTCCCAGGCTGAATTTACTTCTGCTCCCCTCCTGCCCCCCCGCCCCATGCCTCCATGGCCCGGTGCATGCCTCTAGCATAGCACGTGGCCCCCCTGATTGTAATGTTGGGCTTACCAGTGCATCTCTGGACAAGGTTTGAGTTCCTTGATGGGAGAACGATGACATATTAGACCTTACCATCCTGGTCCCTGGCACAGCGCCTAGCGCATAGTAAGCTTCTGCAGGAGTGATGGCTGACTGGAAGGGTGGAAGGAGTGGCGCTTCTAGAGTGTCAGGGATTATGGACGGGGATTTTTGTCTGTTTTATTCTGTGCTATAGCCTTAGCATGCACAACAGAGCTTGACACACAGTAGGTATTCAATATTTGTTGAATGAATAAATGAATGTCACCTAGAGGGAAAAAGGGGAAGAAGTGAGCAGCGGAGCGAAGATGTTTGAATAAGGTTGGGGAGAGGTTAAGTAAGAGGAGGACTATAGCTTGGGGCAGGGACTCTAGGATAGCCAACAAAGGACCATGTGGAAGGAGCTGGCTTCAAAGCAGAGGTAGACAGTTGCCCACAAGAATAATCTGGCAACTGCGGGCATCAAGACCAAGATGGCCGTGAGACTCTCTGCCTTTCTCAAGAATGCCTGGGCCGAGGAGCTGGTGCTGGTTGTGTCCTTCACTATCAGAGGCCTCACTATATGGTAATTCTGCCCTGACTCAACCTCTACACCAATCAGGCCACCATGATCAACCAGGCCACACCCTACAATGACCCAGTGCCCCTGCGAGATGACAGGAATGTGCCCCACGTGCCAGTCACCTCCAGGACCCCCTGAGCCCAAGCTTGGAAGGCTGAAGAAACTGTGAGCACCTCTGTTGACAGGGAGGTGGGTCCCTCCCTTGGCGCCCCCCAATAAAAATGTGAAAACCCCAGAAAAAAGAAAGAATGAGCTGGCAGAGTTACCACATGACCCAGCAATTACTCTCCTGGGTATTTATCCAAGAGAAATGAAAACATTCAAGCAAAAACTGTTTTTGTCCGTGCAAAAACTCGTACAGGCGTGTTCACAGTGGCATTATTCGTGATAGCCAAAAAGTAGGAGAAAACCTCAAATGTCCATCACTGATGAATGGTTACGTTAAATGTGGGATATCCGTACAATGGAATAATGTTATTTGGCAATAAAAATAAATGAAGGACTGATTCATGCTACAACATGGATGAACCTTGAAAACACTATGCTAAGTAAAAAATACCAGTCACAAAAGACCACATAGTATATGATCCCATTTACATGAAGTGTCCAGAACAGGGAAATCTGTAGACACAGAAAGTAGATTAGTGGTTGCCAGGGGCTGTCGGAGGGAGCTGCAAGAACATGGGAGTGATTGCTAAGGGGTGTGGGGTTTCTTTTGGGGGTGATGAAAATGTTCTAAAATTGATTATGGAGATGGTCGCACAACTCTGTGAATGTACCAAAAAACCACTGAAGTGTACACTTTAAAAGGGTGCATTGCATGGTACGTGAATTATATCTCAGTAAAGCTGTTGTAACAACTAAGAATGGTCTGGAGTTTCCTGGAGGTGTGAACGGAGCCCAGGCCCATGCTGACCAGTGTCCTAGGCCTCCAGAATTCTGTGCCCTGGAGTCAGGGGGGTCTAAGCTCCGGGGAATTCATGTTCATTCACTCCTCCGCCCCCGAAGCCAGGGCAGGGGCCCTGCCATTGGGTCCTGAGGGCCGAAGGGTAGCAGAATATGTCAGCTTAAACTATGACTGTGCAGGACATGCCACCCCAGACACGCTGCTTTGGTATATGGATGATTTCGAGCTGAGGGCACTTGAAAAACAACCAATGAAGGGAGAAGCTGTCTCTGAACTCACCTTATCTGCTTAGAGGCAGGTCCTCCGAAAGGAACTCGGTTGCCATACATCCTCCCCCAGCAGTGTCATCAATCACGGAAGACTGACTCTTGTCACAGGAGAGGAGACTAGAAGTCAATGTCACACCCGGACACACTTTGTCACAAACGGTCATACCGCCCATCTATCCTTCTAAGGGCCCATCCTCCTAAGAATCATTCTCTCTCTCCTCCAACATCATCTCCATCCCGCTCCTCTTTCCCTGGTGAGATGGCATTTAAGCCTGAATCTTAAGCCACCTCAGGAGTCACTCACCTTTCCCTGGGTACCTCCGTCGGGTATGTGAGGTACACGTGTTAATAAACTTCTGTTTGTTTTTCTCTTGCTAATCTGTCTTTTATTATAGGGTCTCAGCTAAGGACTCATGGGGCAGAGGGAGATTATTTTCCTCCCCCGCAGGGCCTTGGCTCAGAGGAGCCCCTCCTACAGCGTTCAGGGCCCTGAGTGTTCCTGGGGTTCCGGATGTGAGGAGGGCTGTGGGACATCTTTATTTCCTTCCCCACAAGACCTGAGGGGCTCTCCCTGGGTGGCTGTTTGGGTAGGGGAGAGAATGGCACCGGGCAAGGGAGGATAAAGTAGATTTAGTAATTCCGCAATTTTTGGAGCACCAGCTATGCCTCCGGCACAGTGTTGGATGCGAAGCAATTGGGATGCGAAGCAGCGTAAGAGCTTCTCTGGCCTGGAAACGCTTGCCTAGCCTGCCTGAATGCAGACGTGGGAGAGAACCATGAGGGTGCGGCACCAAAGTGTGTGCCTGCGGGTCCCGCGGCCCACGGAGAAGACAGGGAGGGGCTCGGCGCCATCCCTCCATCCCCATTGCATGGCCGCCGTCCCTGCCAGCGTGGGCCTGGCCGTGCTGCTGGAATGTGCAGAAGGGGTGCTTGGACACTGGGCCTGGTGTCCCGTCCTAGGGTTTGGTTCCCTGAAACCCATCGTTCTAGCACTGGACGGGTGGGAATCACGGACACGGCTTCCCCACAGACATAAAGGGCACCCGGTTCTCCGGCCAGTCCCCGAGGCCCACAGAGCTGCTAAGGGAGCTGAGCTTTTGAACACCACAGCTGTGTTTCTGCTTCTCATCTTCAGTCTATAATGTTTCAAGTACCTTACAGGTTCTGTAAGTGTTTGTAGGCTGCGAACAGTCCACCCATAGGAAAGTGTGTTCCAAATTCTAAGTCAACGAGTCTTTGGAACACAACTCCTTTGCTAGCAAGTTAGACGCTCGCCATAGCTGGATCCCAGGAAAGTCCCTTTAGATACTCCAACGCCTGGACCACCGCTGGGCCAGACCTTTCACGTGAAGCCAGAGGGGTGCCTGCCCCAAAGGTTCCACCCTGCCTCAGAGCCGCTTGGTTTACCCCACCCGGTGGAACGGGGGACACAGCGTGCCGGAAGGCAGGAATGAGAGAGCCGGGGTCTCTGTGTGATTCTGGCCCAGCCGGGTTCTTGGTGCCAGGACCACGTGCTTTCAGAAGGAGATAGGAGCTGACAGATGGATAACAGAGCGTCATAATGGCAGAAACAACCTGAGCGCTGGAAACAGAAGCTGCAATGACAGGAGGAAAAGCCCTGAACAAATTCTAGGCTATGACCCCTGTGATCCTGGGAGCAGGGAGGGGAGGGAGGGGAGGGCCCCCATCCTGGTGAACACGGGGCGACACGAAGCACGTCGTGCAGTCGGGCTAAAAATTAAACAGATGTGTGTTTCTTTAATTCAAAGTCTTAATTATTCTGACGTTTTCCATAGCTTAATCTGAGCCATCACTTCAGCTTTAATTATGCGTAATGAAATGGATTATTTACAGTAACTAATATGACAGGAAAAACTGAGAGGTGAGAATTGGTAACTTGACAACTATTTTTCCCTCTTTTCTTTTCAGGCCATGTTTATTGAGGACCTACTGTGTTTCACCCTTTGCCACGGTCTTACTGATGTCCTATTAGGAAAAGAACCTATGGCTAGAGCACATCCTGTGGGCCAGTTTCTTTCACTTCATTATCTCATGGACTGCTTGCAATAATGCTGCGTGGCAAGTATTATTCTCCCTAATTTATAGAAATGGAACTGAGATACTGAAAGGTTAGGCAATTTGCCTAAGGTCACACAGCAAAACCTATGTTTTTTGCCATCTGCCTACTTCAGATGGAAACCTACAGCCTGATGTTCTGAATCTCACTTCCGGCTCTAGACGGAAAAGTCAGCTTTCCCTAAGGGAATAGTTGCTTGTTATTTTAAGCAGGAGAGTGAGTGATCAAAATTGTGCTTTTGGGAAATTACCTGGCAGTTCCTGGAGGATGCATCGGTTGCTGCTGAGACAGTCTAGGCCAGAGACCAGGACCTGGAGCCAGCGGGGTGGCAGGGAAACGAAAAAGAGGCTGCCGGGGGCGCTGTGGAGCGAGCGGGGCCCGAGGAAGTGGACATGCTGGGCGGGAAAGAAGACAGCCTCGCGGCCCCAAGTTTGAGAAGGAAGATGCGGAGTCCCAGCTGGGCCCCTGACTAGCGGCTTGGTGGGGACAAGTCACAGCACCTCTCTGAGCCTTAGCTTCCTTGTGCCCAGAAGGGGCTGTCGCCAGCTTAGCAGTCTCAGTTCAGGGGCATTTAAGCTGAAATGGTTTTATTTTTCCTCCAGTCATTGTTTTTAACTCACTGCAGTCAAATCTCCCTCTCGTGTCCCTTAATAGTTTGCTTCCTGGTCACTTTCAGTTCTTCATCGTCCACAATAGTTTTCACAACTTCCATCGCAAACTGGACTTCCATCTCGCTTCCCGTCGCTCCCCTGCCCCGAGGCTGGGGCAGCCGGAGCTGGGACCCTGAGTGTGGAGCCTGGGGCGGGGTGGAGTGTGGTCTGGCTCCTCCAGGCCTCCTCTCCCTTTGCCCTGGAGTGGAGAGATGTGGGGGAGGGAGAGGAACAGGCCTGAGAGTGACTCCCTAGCTGGCCCCCCTTGCTGTCTCTCTCCGTTGGCCGTGGCAGCTCCTCTGACTCGCACTAACCAACTGGCCAGTGCTTACCTCTGCTTATCCGGATGATGGATGGTTCACTTGTGGGGCACATGTGGACTTCAGGGCCCCTGTGGGGTCTCCCACTGCTCATGCCCTGATGAGGAGGGTCTGGCTCAGTGCGCCCCGCCCCCCTCCTACCAACAGCCTTGGGCTACTGGGCTCTCCTCCCCCAGCGGGCAGTTCTCATGGGTGAGGGGCAGGAGAGGGGGGTCCACGTCTGGCTTCCTTCCGCTGGGTCCACTGCTATTCTAGCACAGCACGGAGAGGGGATGGGCTGCTCCACTGCCTCCTCCTGCTGTGCTGCTGAGTGGAGGCTGTTTGACTCACCCGGCCTTCTAGCCTGGCACGGGGCTGCATGGGGCATGAAAGCACGGTGTAGGGCAGCGCCTGGCCCTGTGGGACCGGTCATATCCCTCCCCGGTGGGCAGAAGCCTCATTACTCAGTAATCTTCCTCCATCGACTTCCTTGAGGGCTGGAGGGGCGGTGGTGATGGATGGAGTCAAAGGGCGGCGTATGGCCAGGAGTCTGCCTTGAGGAGGGGTCTGGTCCCAGCTCTGAGTCCTTCTCATCAATTCAGGACTGCAGAAAAATTCCCACTTCCCCACCCTTCTTCCGAGAAAGACAAGACGCCTGGGCACAGGGCGATGGCGACCATCGTGGATGACTATGCTCAGGTCCAACTTTCACCGTCATCTCAGGGTCTCGGCTCTTTCTGTGTTCTTTGAACTTCTTTTGGGACCCTCTGTTGAGACACTCGGTGGGCGTGGACTTTTAAGGACTCTGCTGACCAGGGCTGGTTCTCTGGCCCCCTGGGTACCCTGCGGTCACAGAGGCAGGTAATCAAAGAACAAACAGTCCTGTGGTGTTTGGAGTCTCCCTGAGTTACCACCAGAGCCTCTGTTTGATTTCTTGCCTAGCAACAAAACCAGGAGGGGGAGATGGGTGGCATCTGCAATAAACTTCAGGTGTGAGGCGGGATTCAGCCCTGGGTGATATTCTGGAAGCACGCACAGACGCCCGCTCTCTAACATGCAGGACGCGGTCACTCTCCTGGTTTTCCTGGGTGCCGTGGCAGGTAGGGGCTCCATTCTGCCACCTTGCTGGGCCTACTCGGTTTGCATGACATCTTTGGTGATAAAGTCTGGAAAGAGGAAACGGCCTGTGGGAGGCCTTGTTCGGCTTCTCTGCCCTGATGAGGGAGATGATGGAGCAAGAAAGAGCCCCGGGAGGCTGGGCTGGCGGTCCTCTGGAGAAGACGGTGCCTACAGAAGCCACAGGCCAGTCTGCAGCCATGTGTGCACGTCTTCACTCTCCGTCTTTGTTGACTGGCCTGTGCTGAAAGTCGTTCCAAGAGCTAAGGTCGGGAAAATGATGTTCATAGCGGAGTTTTGTGTGTATCTCAAGTCAGTCTTTGTGGAGATTCTGGACTTTCTTTGGAGCCCTTTTGGGGCAACCTGAGGTTGGCAAATCATCCTGTGGGAAAACGAGGAATGAGGGGCTATTGTCTTAGTCTTGAGCAAAGAAAATGTCTCCTGATAGAAGAGCTAAGGGTTCAACCCAGTGCTTCTCGCCTTCCCTCCTCCTTATTCCAGAGCTTCGAGAATCTTGGATGATCTTTTTAATGTTGTCAGCTTAGATTATCGAAATGGAGCTTTTTAAATTAAATCTTATTTTTGAATAGGTAGTATATGCATAATGTATGGAATTCAATCATGTTGAATTTGCAGATTAATTTTGGGATAATTTACATCTTTGATGAGTTATGGAGTGAAACGCTCAGAGGAGTGTCTGGTACATAGTAAATGCTTAGTAAATGTGAATGATCATTATGCATGAGGTTGCATCTTCCTATCCAAGAATAGGGTTCTAGATACTTGTTCAGGTCTGCGTTTGTTTTCTTCAGGAGTATTTTATTTCCTTCATATAGATCTTGCACATTCTAATTACATTTATTTTTAGTTCTTCCTTTTACTTTTTCTTTTTTTGCATTTGTAAATAGAATTTTTTCTTCCCTTGTATTTTTTTTTTTTGGTGAGAAAGATTGGCCTCTTTTTGCTGAGGAAGATTGGCCCTGAACTAACATCTGTGTCAATCTTCCTCTATTTTGTATGTGGCACGCTGTCTCAGCATGACTTGACGAGTGATGGTTAGGTCCGCGTCCAGGATCCGAACCCACAAACCCCAGGCTGCCAAAGCTGAGTGCACAAACCCAAGGACTATGCCGTGGGGCCGGCCCATGCCTTCTATCTTTTAATTGATTGCTATGTAATGTATGGAAGTCTATTAATGGATTATAATAAGATAATCGTTTTTCAGTTGATGCTCATGCATTTTCCAGGTTTGAAAATAATAAACATTTGTGCTTTTCCTATCTCATTTCTTTCTCTTGTCTAATTACCAGGCTTGTACTTTCAGAGCGTTGGTAAACAATGCTAAGAGTGTGCATTCTTGTCTTGCTCCCCATTAAGCATGACGCTAGTTTTTGGTGTGAAATAGAAATGTCTTACACATTAAGGAGATAGCTTTTATTCTTATTTAGGGTATTTATTTCTACATCAAAATGCATTTTTAATTCAAATGCTTTTTCGAGATCTATGAAAATGATCATTTGATTGCCCTCTTTGATCTGCTAATAAGACAAATCAGTAGGTGGGTTTCCTAACATCTAGGCCTCTTCCTCCCGGGCTTTCAGACCGGCCGAGGGCGGAGGAGCTGTGGGTGTGAAGCTGGGCCTCGAGCAGCTCCGACTTTCGCTTGAAGTAAACATTGGAGATTTTCCCAGAAATATAGGCTTTTAGGACCGTAATCATCCGAGTGAAGAGGTGACATTTTTGTTACTGGGGAAGAGTGAAGTTGGGAAGAGCTCAGTGGGTCACACTGACCACTGTCATTTGGAACTTTATCATCAATTGTGAGAAAGGAACAGATGCAAAGGTTTGCAAAAAATAGTTGAGATTTCTTACAAAAACCGCATTCAAATTCCTCCCTCTCCAAAAGACCACACACCGTAGCGTGCTTTCACTTCCACAGTCAAATCTTATTTTTCAGAAGGTCTCGCCTTTTTTTGTGAGTCTGAGAACATGATCCTTACCCACTCTCTCAAACACCAGGGTCACACAGGACAAGGAGAGAGGGGTGGGCAGCCACACTAGTCCCTGCCTTCAGGATACTGGAAGCAGGCATCACCATAATCATCTTACACAAAGTAACAGCCTCCAGTATTCTCTTGCGCTCATTTGGTCTAACTACTATGCATCCTCCAAGGCCCAACTCAGCCCCACCTCCCCCAGGGAGCCTTCCCGGATTGCCCCAGCTCTTGCTGGAGGCTCTTTCCGCTGCACCCTGGAGCTCCCCTTGCCTGCACGTGGAATGCATGCCAAGGGTGCCTAACGCAGAATAAGGGCTCGACAAAAGGTGACATGAGGGATCATTCTGTGATTCCTCTGTTATGTGTCTGTCTTGTTGCCTTAACTGGAAGGCCAGCCCTGCAATAACAGGTTTCCTATCTCTGACTGCTCTGTGGTCCCCGAGTGCCACATCATACAGTGTATCCAAAAATTTTTATTGTTTTTGTTCATCGTTGTCCTGTTTTTGGTCCTGTTTTTTTTTTTTTCACCTTTACTGATACTCCCCACATACAGAAATTTAGGTCTTCTGCCTGCTTAGTATTGGCATTTAAATTAGCTTCTGTCCTCTGCACCTCCTATTAAGATGAGGGAAATGGAATAGTTTCTTTTGGGGATGCTATAGTGCTCCATTCCAACAGCAGCTTACAAAGGAAGGCCTCCCATGAGCGTGAATGAGACAAGGCCCCCAGCTCTAGCAGGGGAGAAGAGTCGAGACCAAACAATCTTCTGGCTCCATCAGTACCAAAGGAGCACGTGCCCCTCTTGGGAGGTGGACAACTCGCAAAGAACCATCGGTGTATTTAAACCCGCTGCACGCTGAAGCCGTCTGCATTTCGAGAAAGCCTCTGGGGAACTAGCTTTTGTATTATTCTTACGGAAATGAAAAATGCCGGGGTGTTTAGTGAAAGAAGGGTTCCTCAGTAGCTGGAAGATCCACATGAACATGACAAGGGACCAGGCCTACCAACCTGAGTTTTGTCTACCGAGCACCGGGCGTGAGGCCATCCAGGTCTCTTCAGGATGTCCCCCAAGCTGCCATCTGGGCCTGACCCTCTGCTGGACAGTGTCGGGAAATCAAAAAGAGGCCCAAGACTCTGTGTCTCCGGCTCCTTGAGGAACTGGGTGCGACCCCTTCTTAATGCTCTCACTCTTTGAAAAGGCAGGAAAATGCAGTGCGTTTCCAGAAAATCTCTCTGTCAGCCGATTAATCCTATAAAGGGGGGTCCAAAGAATGTTGCAAAAGGTTTCCACTTCTGTCATGTCACTTTCCTGCTCAGAGTCGACTTCAGACGAGCAGAAGGCCATCCCTCCTCTCGGCTCTCCCTCCGTCCTCCTTCCCAGGGCAACCGGCTGTCTGCTCCTGCCTCCAGCTCAGGCGCTCAGCCCCTGGAATCCAACTGTGTGTGTTTCCGCCTCAGAGGAGTTGGAAGAGGGTTGTGAGAAACCAGCCCTTCTCAGGCCAGGACCACTGATGCTCCAAGGCAAACGTACCTTTCTCTTCTACTTATGACCTGGTGTAATTTACAGAATCTCTGGTACAGTCACCGTCTTTTCCTCGGTGTCCTACAAAGGGCTCCCCTCTATTAGCCTTGCCTGTTATGGATGAGCGCCCTAAAAGGGGGTGGGCCAGCATCCCATCCAGGAAGGTAGCCATTGTGGAAATTAACGACACAGGAAGGCATTGCACATACCCAAACAACAACATCCTATAAAGTTTTACAGTTTGTCTAGTGTATGCATTTTCTTATCCGGTTCCTGGGCTGTGGGAGTGAGTTCCAGCAGGCCTGGGATTAGCCTGGGTTGCTTGGCTAAAGTTCCTGCACAGAACTGACCCCGGGTCAAGGAAGGCATGAAGAGTGCTGATTGACAATGTTGCTTTGTAACCAGGGGTCCCCGGAGGATGGGAACGGTCTGTACCTGCCTGTGAGCATTGTTTATTGATACCAGGAAGACAGACGATTAGGAGCTGGTCTCAGTGAGACCCTCGAAGGGCCCTGCTGTTGAGGATGGTTATGTAACAAGATGGCACCTCCATGACCAGCAGAATGTGCAAATGTCCAGCAGAAACTCTATTTTGGACTCCCTGGTTCCCAGGTACTAGCGGATATGTCAGTGGTTCCTGATCCAAGCAACTGCGTTTTGTCATGGCCCTCAGGGAAAAGAGGACAACAGGAGCTGGCACCAGCCTCTCCGGTCCTCAAGCCATGAGGCAGCCTTTCGCTGTGACGCATATTCTTACTCGAATGATGTTGCTAGACTTCCGCCTTTTTCTGTAATGAACTGTAGATCTGTAAGCGTTCTCATTTGGGTCCAGTGAGTCGTCTTTAGCAATTGAACCCTGTTTAATGGCCGCTGTTAGTGCAATACTGCAGCCCTGAGAGAGAGAGTTGACAGAGGGCCTCAGAGAAGTTAAGGAACCCGCTCAAGGCCACACAGTCAAGTAGTGGCAAGACTCAACTTAGCAAGTTCTTTTCGCCACACTCCTCGGATGTCTTTGACTACTGTTTTGATTAGTTACTAGAGACAAGGAAGAGGTCTTTCTTGAGTGACAGTCTCAGGCAAGTGGTGCCCTGTGTATTGAAAGCAGGCCTCTAAGTTGGAGCAGCTACATCCCTGGAAGGAGATGATGGCATCGCCCGCATCCCTGAACCACGTCATCACTTTTGGTGTCGGAGGCCCAGGGTGCCAGCTTCCTCCCTTATAACTGAGGCTGCGGAGGCCTTAATTATTCCAACACAGGCTGGGAGGGGACCTCGTTGGTCCATTTCTAGCAAGACAGTGATTTTGCTCGTTTCGAAACTAGTGGGCACATCATCTATCCAGATCTTAACCACAAGCGAGGTGTTTTCAGAGGGCTCAGCGACTGATCATGAATCTCGGCACGCTTTTTCTTTTTCAAAGTGTACGCTTCAAGCAATTCTAATTTGGTTCTTAATTAAGATGCATGTGTAAGTCAAATCCCATTAAGGCCTCTTTCTTGCTCTCCAGCGCGCAGACCACCAAAGAAAGTTCGGAAGCCCAGCCTGGGAAGGCAAGTACGTAGCATCCTCGGGAGAGCTGGCCCTTGGCTCCCCACCTTCCCTCTGCCACTGGTTAGCTGGTGCCATAGGACATATCCCTGAACTCATCCGTATAATGAATGGGTTGAACATTTGTGAATCTTTTATCTTATTAATGCTCTGTTTTTAAGATATGGGCCTTAACCACTCATCATGATAATTATTACCACTATGGTTATTACTGCTGCCACTACTGCTTTTCTAACAGCAAGGGAGCTGAAGGAACTGGGTGTCCAACTAAGAGCTGGGAGATCCCAGCTTGGCCACCTTTCTCATCAGTGTCCCCAGAGCATCTGCCCCAAAGTGTTTAGGATTCAGTCGCATGACCCTGGCACACACGACCTTGCCCTTGGAAGAAAGGCCACCAGAGGAAGAGCAGAACATCTCCAGCAAGAATGGCAGCAGAGAGGGCACAGCCAAGGACACAGTCTGGGCTTGTCCATCCATGGACCAGGCAGTGCCCAACACAAATTGCTTGAGGGGCACTAGCTATATCCATTTTTTGCTCCAAAATATCTCTCTCGCTGCCATGTGAAATATGATCATTCACAGTCAACTGTGAGAAGCTCTACAGCTGTAAGGAGGCGGCACGGGGCCCTGCCAAGAGCCCTGTCCTGCGAGTCAGACGCTTGCGGTTGGAAGGCTGGTTCTTTCATGGGATTCGTCCCTCGAACCCAGGGCTTATTGGAATTAGAATTAACCCAAAAATCAATGGATACGCTCCCAGCGAACCAACTCTGGAGCTGTCAGCTTCCCTGGCCTCCCCAGTTCCCCAAGGAGAGACAGCAAGGTTGGTGGCCACGGTAATCTGCCTGTTGAGGGTGAGGCTGTGGAAAGCCCTGGGTGGGGCTTAGCAAGCCTCTCATCCCCGAGCCCACATCAAGCTAATACTCCAGCACAATCCCTTACATTACTCCAAAAACGGGGTCTTACAGAGCACATCCCTCAGATCTGATGGTTGCTTTGAGGGTCCAATTTCTTACCAGCCACCAGTGCCATCGTGCTACGCTGTTGCCAGGTCATGGAAGAAACCTGATGTATCACGTGACCGACCACAGGCAAGGGAAGGCGGGGGGCACTTTGAGACAAATTGCCTACCTTGCATTTTGCTTACGACTGTCTCGTCCTGCTGAACAGTGAGAAACCACTGTCAGGACAGCTCAGGGTGGGCCCTGGTGACCTTCAGTTGTGGGAAGAGAGGGCATGAGGGAATTGTGCCTAAAAAACCCAACCCACCAAAGCCATCTATTATTTGGCTCATTTTGAAAAACTATTTTGGGGAACTTTTTCCCTCTCAATATTCCAAGCATATTATTCTGCTCCTGGTTTTTCTCACAAGAATGCTATGATATTGAAGTCAATTTTAACAGATTAGAAAAATCTATTTGTATTCACATCCTAAACCTCAGCTGTTCTGATATTTCTGAGTCCTTGTACAGTCCTTGTCCATAAAACTGGATAATTCCGTGAGCAAAAATAACTTATGCATAATGCATTTTCGTCTCTAAACGAAATAAGATGATTTTAGATTTGTGAAAGCTTGTATCAATGGGTGTGCTTATACTTCACTTTTTCTTACATTTCTGTTTACTCTTATGCACCCCCCCAAATTTAAAATAAAAACAGCCTCTTAAAAAAACCCAACATTTTTCCATGTCTTGTTCGTTTCTAGAAATTTTGCCCCTTTCAGTGGGACGGATTCTGTCCCTTTTGTACCTCTTCCCGTTCCAGATGGTTTGCCCCAGTGGCTAACGGCAGCCAAGATCCGAAGCTGGCTGAGAAGCTGGGCTTCAAAGTCAATGTTGGCTTTGTTATCCATTCCTCCCTCTGTGTCCTTCAGCTCAGTTTCCTCATCTGTAAAATGATGACATTAGTACCTATCTGAGAAGGTGGTTTTGAGGAGTAAATGACAGAAAGGATTTTGCATTATGCCCTTATTTGGAACAAATGGTAATTATATGAATTTCCTAGGGCTGTCGGAACAAATTACCACAAACTGGATGTCTTAAAACAAGAGAAATTTATTTTCTGACAGTTTGGGAGACCGGAAGTCTGAAATCAAGTTGTCGGCAGGGTTGGTTCCTTCTAGAAGCTCTGAGGGAGAACCTGCTTCCTGCCTACCTCCTAGCTTCTGCTGGTTGCTCACCATTCCTTGGTGCATCACTTCAGTTTCTGCCTCTGTCATAACATGGCCTTCTTCCTTCTGTGTGTGTCTCCAGCTCCTGTCCTCTTCTTATAAGGATATCAGTTGTTGGGTTTAGGGCCCACCCTAATCCAGGATGACCTCTTCTTAACTAATTACATCTGCAAAGATTCTGTTTCCAAATAAGGTACATTCTGAGGTCCTGGGCGGACACGAATTTTGGGGGGCACACTAATCAACCCCCTAAAGTGACCATCATTATGAAAGAACACGACCTGTTGCTCTCCTCTGTACTGGCGAAGTCTTACAGAGTGTCAAGGGGACCTTCAAAGGTCCCAAGGCTTTCCTGGAAGAAACTCAGGCTTTCCTGAGTTGTAGAATTCTCTGTCTGTAAGGCAGTTGAACGCGGTTCACACGCCTTCCCTGGGTCTCTCATTTCCTTCTCTGAGAAATGGGAGTTAATCTGTCAATCAGGACGTGCTGATTGACTCTGCATGGTGCCCACAGCATTCAATAATAACGAATAATTGTCCTTGAGATGCTGTATGGTTTCACGGTTTCAGGGCTCTCCAGTCATGCACGCTCAGTTCTCAGATGACCTCATGAGTCAAACACTGACACAGAGAAGGAAAATAAACTCTTGTAAACTACCAGGACGTCATGGCCAGACTAGGTCCTTCTAGTGGGCGTCTCTCTCCTAAGCTGTCATTTTCTCTTTCCCTGGCTCTTCACAAAGACTGGGAGAAAAGGGAAGGGAAGCATGGAGACAAGAGAAAAGCAGCAGCTTTATTTACAGAAGGACAGGAGCGGATTTCATGGCCGTTTGGTGGTGGTGGTTTTCTTGGCTCTGAGAAGATCTCGCATTCCCATTCCAGCTCTTGGCAAGAGTATCGGCTCTTGGGGAGTGACCAGGTTCCATCGTTGCCCCGAGTTACGAATTGAAGCCACAGACGGAGCTGTTAAGCCCCTGCTCCCAGCACGAGGCTTTGTGCTCACTTTGTTTGCCTCCTTTGTAAATCCACAGTGGGAGAGGCGCTACACCTCGTCCACTTGCCCGCTACGAGCAACGTGGCTGAGAACTCTCCACCGGGGACCACAGTGCACGCGTTCTCCGTGAATTTATCAGCATCCCTGTCACCTGTGATCCCAGGGTTTCCCCAGATAATCAACTCGAGCCCCCTCACTGAGGCCTTCAGGGTGAACTGGCTGTCGGGCACTGACTTCCAGGTAAGCACCATCCTACCTGCAATGGGAGTCGTCTGCAAAGAGAGGTCCTGAAGATGGGGGTGGATGGGATTCTAGATCAGTGACCGTTTCCTCCTCTTTCCCAGGTTTCATCTCCCCTCTCATAAGATCCAGAAGTCCTGTTTGGGGCACCCTAGAGTTTAGGGCCTCTGAGGCCTTTGGACCTTTCTCCACTTAAGCCAGTCCCAGTGAACACTGTGCTCAATTTGTTAGAAAAAACAGGCTTGTTTCCCATTGCCAACTGCCCTCACCTGAGAACAGGTGTTAGGTGCGCCGACAGTGACTAAACCCTTTGGGTGGGATCATTTGAGTGTTGACCTCCTTAAAACAGGGCCCTGATGAACCCGTGTCTGGTGACACTGCTCGTCTATGATCCCATGATTTTCAGCAGGCAATCCACCAGGAAACTTACTTAACACGGAAGAACACACCCTTAGTGAGAATATGAGCCTAAATGTCCAGCTCTACTCTGTGAATGTTTCCTCTTGGGTGATTCAGAGCCAATCATTCACATTCAAGAGCCATGCCCCGGTGCCCGCTCTGCTCTGTTTTCTAGCTGGTCATTTGAGTCTTTCCCAAAGTCGTCCCTTCTCCTTGGGCAGGACAAACCTGCTCATCACATATTTTCCACTGGCAACCCCAGAGGCCTTCTATGGATGTCCTTGGGGTCCAGGGGTCTGGACCTGCTTGTGCTTGAGGATCCCCGCCCCTACCCTTTTCCTCACCTGGCAGAGGACCTCTTACAGATAGCATCAGCCCTGCCCCTTGTCCCGACGGCCATGGCCTGGCATTCTCGTGGGACCCAGTGGGCCCAGCCTGCTTGGCCTAGGCTTGTTGCCTCCTTGAGGTGCACACTGGGTGCTCTGTAACCCAGCTGATCGTGAGAGTCACTAGGGGGCTTTGAAAAACTGTGCCTATCCGGGCCCCAGAGCAGACCTGTGGAATTTACAACGTGAGGGCCAGAGTCCAGGCATTGATGTTCTCGGCCCCCAGGGTGGGCCCTCTGGTGTATAGGGAGCACACATTCAGGCAGTCTTCCCCTCAGCACCAGGTGTCCATTCCTGGGCCCCACAGGCTGGTTCCGCACCTTACCTGCTCCCCTGACAGCTGGATCCTCTCTAACAGCTGCTGCTCGTCTGTTCCCACCAGCCTTGCCAATTGCTTGCGCCTAGAGAGCACATGGTACATGCTGGACGCTGTTGAAAGGGCTTCATATGTCTTTACTCTTATGACATTCAAATCCGTCCCGTGATTTTAGATGTATTATTACCCCCTTTTTACAGATGGGGAAGATGAAGCAAAGCTTAACAGAGGGGTTAAGAAACTTGCCCTTGGATGCACAAGCTATTAGGCAGCTGAGCTGAAATTGGAACCCAGACACCCTGGCTTTCGAGCTTTCGCTATTTTTTAAAACAGCTTTGTTGAGATATAATTCACATAGCATGCAATTCACCCATTTAAAGTGTACATTTTAGCAGTTTTCACTCTATTTACAGACCATCACCACGATCTAATTTTAGAACATTTTCTTCACCCCAGAATGAAACCTTGAATCCATTAGCAGTCACTCCTATGTCCCTTACCCTGCCAATCCTTGGCAACCACCAATCTACTTTCTGTCTTCGTGATTTGCCTATTCTGGACACTTCATACGAATGGAATCATATTATACGCAGTCTTTAATAACTGGCTTCTTCTACTTAAGCATAAGGTTTCAAGGGTCATCCATGTTGTGGCATGGACCAGTACTTCGTTCCTTTTTCTGGCTGAATAATATTCCACTGCGTGGATATACCACATGTTGTCTATCCATTCATCAGGTGGCAGGCCTTTGGGTTGTTCCTGCCTGAGAGCTCTCCTTCTCAGGCTCTAGAGTCCACTGCCTTCAAAGATGATGATGACCTGCTGCTTCAGATTTGCAGAAGTTCTAAAGTACATTCATGTCCTGATCTCTTGATTGTTACTACTAACACTAATATTAACACTTTTTAAATTTTAGAATTTTTAATAGAATAAGTAAAAAAAATAAAAAATTTGAAATTGGTGTTTTAGAAATAAGGTGAAGACACAGCAAGGTTAATTGATTTGTCCAAGATCACAGACCATAAAGGATGAAACCGGAGGTTTACTCGGGTCTTCTGACTCGCAATCTCAGTCTCTTTCTCCTATGTGACCGTGCATACCCCCTGCTGTTTTGGTGAGCCCCAAATCCTCCCCTCTGGGGCCTGCCCCTCCCATAGTCCATGGATTTAAACAGGGCTGTCAGTCAGGGAAGAATTCCATCCCGTTCCTGACCTCTAGAAGTGGAGAACGTCTTAGCTCCCTGACTCATCCAGACTCAAGTGTTCAGCGTCAGAGCTCGTTCCCAGGCCAAGGGGCTGTCAGCAGGTGATGCTGTGGTAAAGGATGTGTGCGAGCTCGGGCTGCGGGCTTAGCAGGAAGCCGGGGTATAAATCAGGAAATAGGGACCTCGTGGCCCCGGGGCTGCTTTGGTGACACGTGCTCACTGAACGGTTGTTTACTATCTAATGATAATAGAGTCAGCGTTTGCTGCGTGCTTGCTCGGTGCCAGGCGGTGATCTAAGTATTGCATGGATTAGCTCCTTGAGTCCTCACAACAACCCGCTACACTAGATGCTCTTATTATCCCATTTCACAGATGGAGACATTGAGGCACAGAAAGGTGAAGCGCTGGGAAGGCTGGACTTTAAAGCCAGTCGGTCTGGCTCCAGCGTCTACACTCTTGACCCCTGTGTTGTGCTGCCTCTCACCTGCCCCATGCCAGGCACGGGGAGAGGCCATCTCCACCTACGTGTGATACCGGGCTCACCTCGCTTGTGGGTGGAGACAGACTACCTCGTTTTCCCTCTCAACCATCCTCCATTCGTTCTCCTTCCCCCATGCACACTCATTCATATCAGTGGCAGTCCTCTCTTTCCTTAACCAATCCAGATCTCACAAAGTCAAACACAGTACCTGCCACCTCCTCCATGAAGACTTCTCTGATTAAACACAGCTCACAAGGAACTTTTGCCCCCTGATTTTCCACAGTCCTCTGATATAGTCCTTTGTTATCATACTTTGTATCGTACTTCAGCTGTTTAACCAGGGCAAGAATTACCTACCTAATTATAATCAAGTGGAAACAAAATCAGGGAAAGGAAAAGTGACTTTCCCAAGGTCACACAGAAGTTCCGTGGTGGAAGTGAGATTGGGGCTGAGTGCTCTCCTCACTGCAGGATGCTGAGTGCCTCCTGCCCGGCTCCAGTCATATTAACAACCAAAAGTTCCCATCAGCAGAACCACGACATTTATGAAGTTTAGTCCTTGATGCCCAAAGGGCCCTGGCCTTCTGGAACTCCTCAGGCTAAGCTGGCGGCAGGGATGAGCATACTGATGTGAGAGGTCACATGCTGGCCTCAGCTACCCTCAGCAGAGCCCTCCCACCACGGCCCGCTGCTAAGGGACTTGTCCAGAAGCCTACGCCAAGTCTTCCTTCGGTCGATGGAACCAGGATGTCTGCTGAGTACTTTTCTTCAGCATCACACACAGGAGTCGCTTTAGTGAAGCGTCGTGGGGCTTGTGCTGTGAGCGCAAGATGGTTTCCGGGATGCTAGCTGCTTCCTTCCTGGTAATATCCCTTTGCAAAATGTGTGCATCCCAAACAGATCTTTCCCACGGTTACCAAGAATTCTGCATTTGCTTTTAGGTCGTCACCACTGGGAAGGAACGACTAGATTTCGAAACAGGACCAAACATATTTGATCTGCAGATTTATGTTCGGGATGACGTTGGCGTCACTGACCTGCAGGTCCTGACTGTCCAGGTAACAGATGTGAACGAGCCGCCTCAGTTTCAAGGCAACTTGGCAAAAGGTAAGGTCTCCTGGGGTGTGCATTGCAGCCCACATGGTGGCATGAGGGAGGACCCTGGGGGACAGAGCACAACAGAGAAGTGAATCAATGAGCAGCTGTTTCCTGGGAAAAGGCAGCTGCTTAATGAGCAGGGAATAAATGAAAGGTCCTCCAGCCCGGCCTCTCGACAGTTTCCAAAGCCCTTCACACCCGTGGTTTCTCTTGGGCCTCTCCCAGTCCTGGGGAAGAAACGGAGGCTGGGGACCTCAAGTGCGTCATTCTGGAGGAAACTTGGCCCAGCCAATTGTAGGCTCCTCACCGTGTCCTGCAGTCATTGGCTGGCTTGTTTGTTCTCCTCATGGACACTGACACCCTAAGAACAGTGTGTGTCCGGGGTCTGCTACAGAGTAGGGACAATACCGGGGACTGGAGCATAGGGTCACTGCCTGCCATGATCTGTGATCTCGCTCAAGCTCCTGGCTTTGAACACCATCCACGTGCTATTGACAACCCCAGGGCCTATCATTTTGGTCCAGGCTCTCCCTTGAACTCCTGACTCAAATATACAACTGTCTTACCCAACATCTCCATTTGGATGTTTAATAGACATCTGCAATATTGTGATTTATAATAAGAAATATGTCTTTGGTCTTCAACCCCATTCCTGGCACAGAGTTCCTAAAACCTTTGCATCTCCTAAGTGACTAGACTTTTGTTATGTTAATGAGGTCACCTCTGGACCTCACCTAAGGAGGATGGGCTGGCCACCAGAGGAACCAGCCATGTGATCATGGGGTTGGAACTTTCAGTCCCACCACCCAACGTCCAGGGAGGGGAGAGGGCTAGAGATTGAGTTCAATTGAGTTCAATTGCCAATGGCCAATGATTTCATCAATCATGGCTACGTAATGAAGCCTCCATAAAAACCCAAAAGGACCGGGTTTGGGGAGCTTCTGGGTTGGCAAACACGTGGAGATTCAGTGTGGTTCTCTCAGAGAGGGTGTGGGAGCGCCTCGCTCTTTCCCCGTCCTGGGCGCTGTGCACCTCCTCCATCTGGCTCTTCCTGAGTTACATCCTTTTACAATAAAGCAACAATCTAGTAAGTCAACTGTTTCCCTGAGTTCTGTGAGCTGCTCTAGCAAATTAGTCGAACTCGAAGAGGAGGTCGTGGGAACCTCCAATCTATAGCCAGGTGGTCAGAGGTACGTGTGACAATCTGGACTTGTGGTTGGCATCTGAAGACGTGCCCCCAAACCAAACTCCCGACTCCCACTCCGTTCCCCCCCCCCCCACCGTCCCTGCCCACATCTGCCTCTCTGGTGTCTTTAGTTAATGGCAGCTCCATCCTTCCAGTTGCTTGGCTCAAAAACTTGAAGTCATTCTTGACTCTCTCTGTCTTTCACACCCAACATCAAAGCCATTAGGAGATCTCTCCGCTTCTAAATCTATGCAGGGTCCCACCCTTCCCCAGCATCTCCACCTCTACCACCATGGCGCCCGCCACCAATCGCGTCTTGCATGGATTGTGGCCGGCCAACGGGCCTCCCTGCTCGGCCCTTGCCCCCCTCTGTCTCTTCTCCATACAGTGGCCAGAGGGATCCTGTTCAGACATCCTCTGCTTAAAACCCAACAAGAACTTCCATGTCCCTCAAAAGGAGAGCGAGAGCTCCTTAAGGCTCCATCAAATCTGGTGAGCCGGTCCCCCCACGTCCTCTCCCACACGTCTCTGCCCTCCTGCTCTGCTGCAGTCCTGCCTCCTCCCCCGTCTGTGAAGACCCCAGGCACGCCCCTGCCTCAGCATCTGTGCATTTGCAGCTTCCTCCTCCCTTTCCTCCTTCTCTCCATGGCTCCTCCACATTTCTTTAAGAATCTCCATTCCAATGCCAGCGAACCTTCCATAACCGCTCTATTTATCATTGTAACCCAACTCACAACACTCCTTTGCCTGACTTTTCTCCATAGCACTGCTCACTAACATTCACATTGTGACTCATTTATTTTATCATCTGTATCTCCCCACCAGAAGGCACTCTCCGTGAGACCAGGGTTTGTGTTTTGTGAGCTGCTGTCGTCCCGATGTGTCGACCGGTGCTGGTACATAGTGAGACTCAGTAAATATTTGTTGGAATGAAGGCATGAGCAGTGATAAAGGTGAATGAAAGCTCGAGCTCAGATATAAGATGACCTGGCTTCGAATTTTCATTCTGCTGCTGCCCAGCTGAGACGACCCCGTTATGTCTCTGAGCCTAGTTCCTCGTTTGTAGAGTGGAGATGGTCACAGGGCCTCCTTTATGGGGCTGTTACGAAGATTAATAGAGGAAACGCACGGTCCTCAGCACAGTGCCTCGGAAAGAGGGAGTCCATGGGAACACGCTCGGTCGTCTCTCAGAAGGAGAGATGCTCAGAAGCAGAGATGCCAGAGCAGAGCGTGGCGGCCCCTCAGGCAGGGCTGGTGGTGCCAAGCGGCACTCCCTGCTTCTCCTCCTCCTGACCCCCAAGAACTCCGAAGTAGATGAAGTCAGTTTTTGATCCCTTTCCTGAGCCTCCGCAGCCCTCTCCCCCACTTATTCCCTCTCCTTTCTGTTCCACTCTAAAGCCTTTCCTTTCAGCGACTCATTTCTGCTAAGATGCTCAGTGCCCTTCGAGGGGCGACCTCGGCTCCGTTTAGGAGGAGTTTTCACCGTAAGGTGGACCTGGAATGTGGAACAGCCTCACACTGGAGGTCCCTACCCCCCGTTACTTTCCAACTCTCTGCCCCGTCACCTCCCTCGCCCCCGAAACAACAGTCCCCTAGGCCACCTCTCCACGGAGGAAACACATGAAGACTGGTGCCAGCTTGGCCGACCCTGGCTCTTTATTAATCCCCATAAACGGATGCACTCAGGCAGGTTGGCCAGTGGCCTCGCTCAGGGCTTTCTTACTGCCTCCCTCCTTCCCATCGGACCCATACGCTTGGTCCCCTTTGGCGGGGTTCAGCCGTCCTGGTTTTGGACTTCCTCATTTGCTTGACCTAATAAAGTGTTTCTTATTCCACTTTGGACTCTGGTACAGGCCAAGACCTCTATATAGTGGAAGGAGCAAGCCCTGGCTTCATTGACCAGGTCGAGGCCTTCGATCCGGAAGACACAAGCCGGAACATACCCCTCAGTGTGAGTCTCCTTGTGAAACAGAGGAACCTGGGATCTCGGCAGGGTGGTGGGGCCGGGGCCGCCAGAGGAACGTGCCGTCCACTGCCGGAGCCTGGAGTACAGGGAGCGGGGAATGGGAAGGGGGCTCTGGAGGCAGACACGCCAGGTTGGGCTCGTGGCTCTGTGTGATCTTGGACACGTTCTTAACCTCTCTGAGCTTCAATATCTTCATCTGTAAAATGGAAGAATAACAGCACCTACGCAGTAGGGGGGTTGCGGGTTACATGGTGCCTGGAAGGCCTCCCAGAACAGTGCCTAGCATATCAAAATTGCTCAATTTTTAAAAACTCTAAGCTGATAAAAATCCACCTATATTATTTTAAAACTAAGCGTAAAATGTAGACCCCCCCCCCCAAAGGCAGGTATTAGCAATCCTTTTCAAGAGATGAAGCCAAGCTGCTTGGAACTTAGTTTTAAAAAATTAAGAGGGGCCAGCCCAGTGGCGTAGTGGTTAAGTTCGTGCACTCTGCTTCGGTGGCCCAGGGTTTGTGGGTTTGGATCCCGGGTGCAGACCTAGCACCACTCTTCAAGCCATGATGTGTCAGCGTCCTACGTAAAGTAGAGGAAGGTTGGCACAGACGTTAGCTCAGGGCCAATCTTCCTCAGCAAAAAGAGAAAGATTGGCAATGGATGCTAAGCTCAGGGCCAATCTTCCTCACACACACACAAAAGTAAATAAAAGAGAGTGCCAGGAATTCTGGAGAACAGGAGGAATTCCACAGAGAAAGGCAGGAGAGGAATTCCCCGGAGCAGGAGCTGGGTCCTGGGGTCACCCCACAGTTTAGTCTGAGACAGCGGATGTCTCCTCTCTCTTGTTGTAATCAGTCTCCCTCCTACAGCTGCCAGAGGAGCTCTTGTAACCATCAGCCCTCGAGGGGGAAGCCTCTTAGCTTGTCCCTGGGCACGGACGCCCCAGCCCCTAGCTCGGCGCACCCAGTGGCCTTGTGCACCCAATGCAGCTGGGCGGCCCAGGTTGGAGACAAAAAAAAAACGCCCAAAGCTAGTCCCAGGCGACTACCCTTGGAGCAGGCAACACTGCTGAGGAGCTGCCTTCCGGAGAAGAGACGCGCTGAAATACGACGCGCGGGGAATTGGTATCACCGGGGAGGCTGCTTCTGCCCTTTGCTGCCTGATTTGCAGCTTCAGCAGGACGACTTTGCTAACAGGAGGAAGCGAGCCTTGGGAATCCACTCCAGCACCAATGTCACATGGTCTACAGGGGCCGAAACAAGGCTGTTCTGAGATTATTGGACGCATCTTAAATTAAGGAATAGTCTGTTGTTATTATTAGATGATCTTTCTGTCCAAAAAAAATCATGCATTCATTCACTCACTCGTTCATTCAAGATTCGTTCAATATTTGCATGAATAAGTGAATGAATATGCAAACACTTAATGGGGTCCTACTATGTGCAAAGAGCAATGCATACTTTAAATGCGTACTTATTAACATACTTGTTATATCAGTTAGGAATGCCTTTGTCTGAAAATAACAGAAAACGTGATCTCACTGGTGGAGGTGAGATTTTTTTTGTCTCCTGTAACAAGAAGTCCAGAGGCGGGCAGGTGGTCCCAGGGCTGGCGCAGCTGCTGCCATCAGGAACTCGGGCTCTTCTGTGCTTCTGCTCTTCCATCCAAAGCGTGTTGGCTTTGCCCTCTTTTTGTTTGCCTCATGATTACAAGATGGCTGCTGTTGCTCCAGGGTTTACCTCTAAATTTTAGGCAGGAAAAAAAGGAAGCAAGAAGGGGCACAGGATGAAGGGGGCAGGCCTGCCCAGCCTGTCCCTTTTTTGGTAGACCCTCCTGGAAGCCCTACCCAGGGGACTTCTGTTTACTTCTCTCTGGCCAGAACCCTATCCTAGGGCCACTGTTGCTTGGTGGTACCCAAGGGAAAAGGGATTGGGGACAGGCATTACGTCAGCAACCAAAAGCACAGTCCCTCACACATACATTTAGTTCATTTCAGCATTTACCAAGAATCTACCACGTGCCAGGCTCTCTAGCAGATACTTTGGACACAAAGATAAGGAAGACACGCTCACCTCAGGAAGTTTATAGTCTGGCTGGGAGACATCCTTGCATACACCAGATAATTACAATTCGACAAGATAATTGCTGTAAAGTTTGGACAAGATGCAGTAGGGCAAATTGGAAGGAATCTCAGCTGTGAAGAGAAATACTTATTTTTAAATCCCCATTTTTAATATATCTTTCCAAATGATGCAGAAGGAATAAGGTGACGGCTCCTTTAAAAACACCTGCTAGATCAGGTTGTTAGCCTTTCAGAAGACGGGAAGCAGCCCAGGTGGGGGCGAATGCAGCAGATATTGCTCCCTCACAAGAAAACGTGGTGCCATCGACAGAGGGCCCAAAGCAGCTGCGGGGTCTCCGAGCCTGGGGGCGGGGCGATGGTGGAACAGCTGCACAGAAAGTCGACAGCCAGCCTGCAGGAGCAGCGGACGTAATCCAGGAGGAAACTTTCTCAGCCTGGAAAAAGGTAATAACAGTTTCGGAAGTAACATCTATGGCCTTTGTACTCGGTGTTTTATTCTGGGGCCTGGGAGTACTAAGTGACATTTTGCTCTGTCCAAGGAGAATGGAAACGGTTAATTTAACCACACCTGTGCTTCTCGACCTCGGCTGTAAATTGAAACAACTGGAGGAACTTTAAAAAACACAGATGTCTGGGTCCCACCCCCGAAGGGTCTGATGTGAGTGACCTGGGGTGTGGCCCGGACATTAGGATTTTAAGGCCCCGGGTGGTCTTGTGCACAGCCAGGGTTGAGAACAGCTGCTGTACGACACTGTCTGCCAAACTTTCCAGGTCGTTCTCCTGGAGTTTTGGATTCTGTGGTTCTGGGGTGGGCCTGGGAATCTGCATATTTTTCAGCTACCCCAGTGATTCTTCTGGTCTCAGAGTCTGGAAACATCAGTTTACGAGTGTTTCTGAGGAGGTGTTCAGGCCCCTGCGTGAGAACATCCTTAGGCTGCTTTAAAATGCAGCTTCCCAGGCTCTGCATCAGAAGGCTGAGTTGACCACATGCTTCCCAGGTGATTCTGATGTACTCGGCCCTTCGAGAACCATGGGACTCAACAAGCAAGGGACAGACTTTAATAAAACATCCAAGCATGTTCATGAATCCCACTAGGCTTGGCCTATGCCTGTCATCTTACCTGGTGGTTCCAGGCATCACCTTGCTGGTGGCAACAACTAGAAGAGGAAGGATGATGTGAAAATTACCTGTGGGACATCTCTTGAAACCCAAACTCCTTTAAAACCACAAATCCTACAACCCTTATCCAGCTTAATGAAGTGAACTGTGTCCCAGATAACGTTAGAATTGGGGTGAATGCAGAAACTACTCCCTTGTTTTTAAAGAAACTGAACAAGCACGTGGCTGTGCATTGTTTGGACCAGCACTGCCCAATAGGGCTGGACTGCAAGCCAGAGATGAGTGCTGTGGATGGAAGTTTCAACGTTCTCATAGCCACGTGAAAAAAGTAAAACGAAATAGGTGAAATTAATTTTTATAGTTTATTTAACTCAATATATCCAAACTATTATCATTCCAACATAAAATCAACATAAAAATGATTAATAAGATATTTTACATTCTTTTCGTCATAGCTGGTCTTGGGATTCGTCGTGTATTTCACACTGACCGTTCGTCTCCATTCAGACCAGCCACGTTGCAAAGGCTCAGTGATCACAGGTGCCCGTGGCTGGCAGCTCCCGTTGGATGCGCAGGCTCAGGTCCTTTATCAGCCGCCCTCCCTGGGCACCTTCTGTGTTGTGATGGAGAGCAGGTGGAGCGTGCTCAGAGGCATGTGTCAATAGCGGGCTCAGAATATAACCATCCGCAAGATGGTCTGTATGTGGATCATTATATACACGGGAAGTTCTTCTTCAGGCCCCCTCCCACGCCCTTTCTGCATCTCCTGAAGGAGGCTATATGGGACCCGCCCCCTCCCACCCTCTCCCTTCCCCTCTGCTTGGCAATGGCCACCACCGCGACGGCAGCAAAGCGTCCATGGAGACTGTGAGGACGTTAGTCAGTTTCGCAGCTGGAGGCTAAGCGGTGTAGAGCAGCCATCCCTCCATTAAGGGGCTTTCTCTCGGCCTTTCCGTTAGGGAAGGACTTTGGCATAAAGTGAAATGTGCTTTGTCTTCACCAGGGCAGACAAAGGATTAAATTAAAAGAGCAATAACCTTGCTACTAGGTGGGCTACCGGGAGAGCAAGAGAGGGAGCAATTCTCTCTCCGCCTCCATCTCGCTCAAGGCTCTAAGAAGTGGCAGCGAGCTGTGCCTTTTGATCTCCCTGGGAATAAAGTAACTGTCATAGGCTGGTCCTGGCTGGATGAGACTTTTCAGGTCCGTGGAGCAGCCCCTTATTTCTGGATGAGGGAAGGAACTGAGGCCCTTGCCTAGGCTGGTAACTCCAGTGAGATCTGAGGTCTCCTGACCCAACTCTGCTCACCACCTTCCTCTTTGTTCTGGCCAATTCTGTCTTCGGTGTCCTGCCCCTTTCCTGAGTGACAGCGCCCCTCCTGTTCCTCATGCAGCTCCATTGCCATCACACACGCACGCGCATGTACACACACACACACACACACAGGGATACACAGCTCTCGTTCAGCGGCCCCCTGGCCTCTGCCTGCTAACTCCAGAGTCACCACTGGAAATCTCTGCAAAACGCGATCTACTCCAGGTTCCTGTGAACACGCTCAAGAAGGAAAACAGTGGTACGGGACAATTCCCACTCCAAATAAACCACTTTCTTGACGACGTGGGGATCGTTGTCCTTCAGATTAGTGGAGCCTGAATCCAAGAACAGGACGCAGGCTGATGATGGAAAAACAATGCCAAGGACAGAACCTGCGGCCTCATCAGTAAAGGATCATACACAGATAGCATTTCGCATTTATAAATGTGGCTCTTCTTAAACACGTCCAAATACTTGCCTATCAGCCCCGTAGCTCACCCGCCTAACAGTCCAGCACAAGGCGAGACCAGTTAAGGGCCCGAAGTGGGCTTTTCATGGGGCGTTTTTCCTCCTAGGTGCCCTTCCCCCAACTCTGAGCTGGGATAGAGGTGGATGGGGGAAGAGAGACGAATAGAGGCTTTTATAGAACACTCAGTTCGCACTGAAAAATACAATAGGAATGCGGTGTTGTATTTATAACTCGGGGCCTGGTTGGAAGGTGATGCCCTGTGCTGTTGGCCCTCTGGGTGGGCTTAGGGGTGTGTGCTCAGTGGCCAGTAGAGCTCTCCGACCTCCCTGGCCTGGGGAGGGAGAAGGGTCTTCCCTTCCCTCTGGAAACGTGGCCCCTGGAAGTTGGCTGCTCTATTCCTAGGAGATGGGAGGCCGAATTCTTGTTGCTTGGTTCCATTGCAGCCTGAAAGCAACTGATGGCTTGCAAACGAGCACAGGTTGAATCACTCATTATCCGCCTGTGACTCCAGCTGCAGTGGGGGAGCCGCCAGGAGCTGGCGTGCCCTCCCCAGGGAGCCTGACATTTCAGGAAACTGGGCCAGCTCCCTCTCACCCTCCTTTCTCCCAACACCAATGGCACAATAAAGGGCGAATGAGGCAGGAAGCACGGGCTCGTTGTCTTCCACACTGAAGCTTTTGTGTCCCTGAGCAAACCCTGGCTGCCAAGGGGCCCGCAAGGAGAGAAACCTGGGGTGGGGGTGTAGCAATATTCCCAGCGGGGAAACTGGAGAGCTGGTCTGACGAGCATTTGTTAACCGAATTGATCTGAGTACTCAGGACTTTTCTTAGCCAGTCCTGGAGCAGAGAGGGGCTGCAGTTGCTTTTTATTCTATTTAATTTCTGTTTTCCAAGAATGAATACCAAGGGAGCAGCTTTGATTAAACAAGCCTTTAAAAAGGGGAGAGAATGCCAGGTTTTACAGAAAGCATTACTGAGCCGCTGGCAAATGGCCACATGACACAATATTTTTAGTCTATGGATATTATCTCCTTTCTAAGCACGAGACTGCGATTCCCGTTAACACCAGCTCGTAGGCTCAGGAATAAGGAATTTAGCCTGGCGCTGAAAGGAAAAAAAAAAAAAAAAAAAAAAATCAGGATTCCGGGGGACCAGCGTCTTAAATAAAAATTAAAAAGACATTCCCCACGTTCCTAGTTCCACAGCTCTCCACGCTTTCTGTCTGCCGCTGTTTCTTTTTTCTTTGTTGCTGAGACTATGGGCAGAACTGGAGAAGATTTCATAACCACGTCTGGCATTACCAAATTAAAACAGATTTTTAAAAAGCTTTGGCAAAGATTTTTGTGGTTGTTGCCTTTTGTTTGGTTTTAAGATTCTCTAACGTGGGGACGCTGGTCTCAGATGGGAAATAGGCAAGAAGAAAACCCCAATATTTAACATTAACCAAATATTGAGCGAGCATCGATTAGGTGTCAGGCATTAGGGATAGAGCAGTGGGTAAAATGAAGCCCTTTCCTTCCTGGATCTTACATTCTAAGCAGACAGTAGTAGTTAACGCGGATCGAGGGCTCACCATGTGTCGGGCGCTGTTCTAGAAGGTCACGTGATCGCCCCGTGGGACATGCCCTCTTGCTATCACTCTTTGTTGCACAGTGGCTCACAGCTGGAAACTGGTGGAACCAGGGTTCCGATTCAGCAGTCCAGCTCCAGAGCCACCGCCCTTAATGCCACTGTCTCAGTTCATGACTCCTATTCCAGACGGGTCTAAGAGTCCTCCTTCTCGGTCCCCACCGTATCCTACATCCATCCTTCTCGGAGCACCTGTCCCACATCTTCTCTGTGTGTTCCCTCAGTTGACCGTAAGCTTTTGGAGAACAGGGTCTGTCTATCATCTCTGTATCCCAAGACCCTCCACTGTTTGGGACCAACCAGATCTGGGGTCTATCTCCTAGAGCATTTCAAAACACAGGGGGAAAGGCATCTGGATGCAGGTGCACATAGGAAACGCCCCCCAGGGGTGTATGAAGCCTGGTGTTCCATCACAGCCAGCCTGGGCCTCTGTCTATGGATGTGTGAGGATGCTCTGTGAGCAGGGCTCCGCTCAGGGAACACAACTGCTCCGTGTGCGGGCAGCTGCAGGCCTAGGCAATTGCTGCCCGGGCAGTGAGCTGGGGAGGTGCTGAGAGGCTGAGATTGAAACACGATGCCTTTGATTGCTGTCAAGGTACTTATGCAATTTGAAGGGCTGCGAGCAGGGCGCTCCTTGGCATTGCCCAAATGTGTCCTCTTCAACATGGGTAGGAACCGCCTAGGTGACCAGCAAGAAAGACTTAGTAAAATGACCCCTACAGTCGAATGCCATTGCCATCATTAACCAACTAGGCTGTAAAGTCAGATTTAAGAATATTGGGAAATGCCCAAGCTATACATGAAAAGATCAGGATATTATAATTTTGATTAGAACATCATCTCGATTTCTTTGATGTGTATATTTTGCATAGAGAAGAACGGAAGGCTATTCATGAAAATGATGAGATTGTACAGGTGACTAATAATCAGGTTTAAAAAATGCTTCTCTCTTTCCCAATTTTTGTGTAAGAAAATATGTTCATTACAAGTAGAAAAATGTCATTGAATAATAAACTTTAAAAAATGGTTTAAAACCTTATATTGGCCCCAAAGGAGACCTTTAATCCATTTTCTGTGCATTCTCTCTTCTCCTCTGGGGACCTCTGCTGCGATCACAACGTAGCAAATGGTTGGAAACCTTGGCTGGCGTGTCCTTTGATTCTAGACTTCAGGGGCTGTGGCTCTGATGCAAAACCTCCACTGACTATCTGATGCAGAGATCTAAGGCTTTCGGGATAGACTGTCCTTCATCCTAGTAGGAAATAGTGAAACCTTCTAACCTGAAAACCCTCTGGAACAAGTGGATTTAAACACGTAAGCCTTGAATGTTGCTGTGGCCCTTTACATCTCACAGTGCAGATTCTGGTTTAATCCTCACAATAACACAGACGAGCAGGTGGTGGTACCATCCCTAAATTACAGGCAAGGAAGGGGCTTGTCCTTCGGGGATCCCCTGGTGAGGACTACAGCTTGGACTCAGCTCTTCTGATCCTGGTTCTTCCCTGCTTCGTTGACTGCATCGTGGGAGAAAGGAAGCAATCTTGATGAGCACCCATGGAGGGCACAGGGTGGTGCTCCTACATGCTGGCCTGTAGTGGGCCGTGCAAATACGCCTGGGCTCCTGGTAGAGCAAGTGGTGCTGGGCAGGGGGTCATCGAGAGAGCTGGGCTGGGCACTGGGAGCCAAGGTGGATGGAGACTCTCAACTCCCCAAGACGTGGGAAGACTTGACCAGTGGCCACAAATCTGAGACCAGATTTAAAACCAATCCTTCTATATTTCCTCAACCCAGCTTCCAACACGGACTCTAGGCCCTGCCGAGTTTTGTTCTCTCTCATTCTTATCTCTCCTCTTTTCCCTTCCACCGCTTCAGTGAGCGGTGCTTGTGAACATTTTTGCACCCTACTATATCTCAAGTTCTTTTAAGGGTAGAGACCACGTCTTATTTACGTTAGCACCATCCTAGGACCTAATACATGCCAGCCGTGTTTAAACAGTGTTGGTTAAAGCCGAGACATAGAATCAAAGCCAGGAGTTGTCCCGGGAAGCAGAAATGAGAAACAGTGACAGGGACAAGGACACTGCACCAAGAAGCGGAAAGCCTAGAGGGGGCCTTTGTATGCGTTCTGTAATGGAAGCAGCATCCCATGACCAGCTTCGTGGGGTATAGCCAAGCAGGGTGAGAGGCTCAGACCAACAGGTCCAGAAGTCTCTCAATTCAAGGACCATTAAACCTGAGAACTACCCGTTTGGGCCTCATCCTGATGCATCAAGAATATTCCATGGACCAAGAATGTAAAAAGGGAGCTGAATAAACTCATCTCCCGGGGGAAGGTACAGAGGTGCATTTAGTTACGTCCTTTTTCCCTCTTGTTTTCTAGTATTTCCTGACCTCTCCCTCAAAGAGCTTCGGGCTGTCTGCTAATGGGACCCTCTTCTCCACAACAGAATTTGACTTTGAAGCAGGACACAGCAGGTGGCCTTTGCAATGACCTTGTTTGAAGTACCATTTTTCTGCGGGTCAAGGAGTGGGCACAGGGCAGCCCGAGGGCAGCTGGGGAGGCTGCCTGCGTGCTAAGTTCCGAGGGGTGAGCCCCAGGGGTAAAGGGAATAGGGCAGCCGTCTGGAAGGCTCCTTCTCCATCCCTCATCTCCATCTCCAGGTGACGAGGAGGAGGGCGTCGGGGAGGGCTCCCAAGGCGCCTGGGGGCCGCCACAGCCGCCCTTCTGGCTCGGAGAGGCAGCCCTCAGAGTCTCTGCTAAGAGGAAAGCAGCAGCTTCTTTCCCATTAGGAGGAGGGGGCAGGCCTCTGAGGAAAGGGGAGGGAGGCCAGGTTTGAGGAGCAAAACACACAGGCCCTGGGCTCAGCTCAGCATTGGCGCTCGACTGGGCACCGGTTGTCAGAACCGGGGCTGGTTCCTCAATCCGTGGGGGCCTCGGTTTCCTTGCGGGGGTGTGGGATGCACTCTGCAGGGACATCGTGGGGGCACGACAGAGCCAGAGTGTACACCCGGGGCATGAGCAGCTCCTGAGGTGGTGGCCATGGACAGTAACTACAGGAGGGGGAACAGAGGCAGAGTTTTCAGAGATGGGGAAGGAAGGGTGGAGACAGCAGGTCCGACTCTGCAGGAGAACACGGATGAGGGTTGCCAGAAAGGGGACAGTCTCTTTGCTCCCTCTTCCCACCCCATTTTTTCTCACCCTACTTTGAGGTAGCGTCAGCAGAGCTTGACTCCCTCATGTGGGGTGTTTCCCTGACAGCTACCATCTCGTCGTGGAAGTGAGGGACAGCCAAGGGCTGCGGGCCTCCACTGTGCTCCGTGTGACCATCGTGAACATCAATGACGAGCCCCCGCGCTTTACCAGGTAGGCCTGAGGGCATGTGGGGCCGGGCGGCCTCCTCAGACACCCTTTACACAACACAGGAAGCCCTTTGCCCTGGCCTGGAGGAGATCAGAGGCTTGAGATCGTCAACATCCTTTCTCTGGGCCTCTGGACTTCCATCTTCCCATCCTCCCCCTCCCGATTGGATGTAGGAGGGGAAGACGGGGCTCTGAGCTGGCACACGACCCTGCAACCGACACTCTGCCTGCCCCGATCCCTGAGGCGGGCTCAGGAGCCAGCCATGCGGAAACTGGCAAAATCTCCTGCCTGGGGGTTACCTGCATTAATGGTTGTGAATACATTCAGCTCAGGAGACTCCGCCATCAAAAAGCCACTGGGCCTCAGAACTATGTGGAACACTTGCAAAAGTACTCTGAGACTGGGAGGTTTTCAGGCCACTGCTCACAGGCTAAGCTGGTGCCGCTTAGCAAAACACAGCACAATCGTGAGACTTCTGGATGTTCACGCAGTCTACAGCCCAGGCGCTGGGTTTCGATGTGGAGGGAACAGCAGCAGATACACTCCCACGTAAGGCTGCCCATCAACGCCAGTTGCCAGGTTAAGCTCAGAAGGATGGCGCAGTGCGTTTCTGCTGATGGGCTCCTCCAGGAGCACAGGACAGGCAGTTTATAAATGATCGTGAGATCCCAGCCTGGATTTGGACTCCAGTATTGGTCCACACAGCACTGCAGGTTCATCAGTAACTAGGAGAGGGAGGTGATGGCCTTGGGGCCGGAGCAGGTGCGTTCTGCAGGCTGTGAGGTGGGAAAGCAGGTTAATGGGGTTGCAAAGGGGAAAATCATAAGTTCTCCCAAGGGGCAGAGCTTGTGGACCACCTGGTTTGGACGACATCTTCCAAAATACAGCAATTGGCCTAAGTTGAAAGAGGACATGACCTTGGCCGGCGGTCGGGGCCCCCTGGGATCAGTCTGGGACTCTGGTTTTCATTTTTGGTTTGAGAGATGAACCTGTTAGGCAGCATCCCAGACAGAGAGCATGACCTATGTGACCGTCCAACCATTTTTAAAAAACCCCATTGACTTTGTTTCAACAGTGTTCCATGGATGTTGGTAGGGATGGGTCTGCGAGAACCTGTGCCCAGGAAGGGTGTGGGGCAGGATGGCAGCCCTGACGTTGCCCTGGCTGCTCAGTGAGGCCCCCTCGTCCCTCAGCCATCCATGATCTGTTGGAGTTTGCTCAGTTTCAAACTAGGCGCTCCCTTCGAGGGCTTTCATGGTGCCCTGGAGCCCTGATCCCATTTATGCGGGAGGAGGGTGTAGGAATGGACTCACATCAGAGCTTCACCCTGTCCGGTGGCTGCAGGGCCTCCCCCCACCCCCGCTTCCCTGTGCTTGAATAGATCTGAACTGTGGGCCTAGGGTAACATCTTTATGTTATGTGCTATTTTATGCATACTTAGGTGTTGGATCCCCAAACCAAATAAACCAAGGATTTTATCTTCTGCCAGGCTCGACGTCAGGTCAGCCAAGCTTTTCTCCTTGGCTGAGGAGCTGTGCCTTCACCAATAGCCTGATCAGTCCCTGTCACGGGGACCAGCTTTCCTAGAGCTCCCAGCGTGGCCTAGATGAGCCTGCAGAACAGGAGGTCTTAGAGGGTGGCACTACTGACATTTTGAGCTGGCTACATCCTTGTGCTGGGGGTGTCCTGTGCATTGTAGGATGTTTAGCAGCATCCCTGGTCCCCACCCTCTAGATGCCAACAGCAGCCCCCTCCCCTAGTTGTGACAGCTAACAGGACCACTCCCAGCTGAGAAGCAGTGTCTTACAAGCAAGAAGGGAGGGTGGGAGGAAGGGGATTTTCCCCCGAGGTGTCCTCTGTCTGTCCTAGGAGAGGCTGGGAGCTGTGGTTGTCACCTCTGGGGATTCCTTATGACAGTCCGTCTCAAACCTTAAAGTGCTTTCAAATCCGCTGGGCATCTTCTGAAACCGCAGATCCGGAGTCAGTGGTCTGAGTGGGTCTGACATCTGCATTCAGACCCAGCATCCCCAGAGAGCCTGTTGGAAATGCAGGGATGGGGTCGGCCCTGTGGCTGAGTGGTTAGTTTGCATGCTCCGCTTTGGCAGCCCAGGGTTCGCTCGTTCGGATGCTGGGTGCAGACGTACACACTGCTCATCAAGCCATGCTGTGGTGGCATCCCACATAGAAGAACTAGAAGTACCTACAACTAGAATATACAACTATGTACCGGAGCTTTGGGAAGAAAAAAAAAAGAAGAAAGGAGGAAGATTGGCAACAGATGTTAGCGCAAGGCCAATCTTCCTCAAGAAAAAAAAAAAAATGCAGAGACCAGGCTTGGAGTAGCAGAGCAAGGCTGTGGAGGCAGCCTGGGCATCTTAGTGAACTCTCTGTTGGACATTAACGGAACCTGCTCAGAGCAACCAAAGAAATATAACGTGATAGAAACAGGGGCTCTCATAGTGTGAACAGACGGGCTTAGTCTCGCCTTAGGGTCTGGGGCCGCCTCCCTCTCTCCTCTGGCTCTGGTTTTGGCTTCAGCCACCCCTCCTCCTTGGCCTTACCCCACATTGTCTGCTCCTGGACTCATCAGTGGGCAGTAGCACAGATTCCCTGAGAAGTGGGTGTGTCGGGTAAGTAAATGGAATCATGGGCAGCTTCAGTGGGACACGGGGCGGGGAGAGGCCCAGAGCACAGGGGTGGCCTCTTGACCTGAACGAGGCTTCTGTCCCCCAGCAATGGAGTGTACCTACAGGAGGTCCCTCAAGAACGAGGGCAGCAGGCCCAGGGACAGCGAGGAGCCTGGTTCTAGCCTTTCTCGGCTGCCTCTGACTCTAGCCGAGGTTCCCTCTCCCTTCTCCTCCGTCTGGCCCTCCAGGGATGACGAGACAAAGCTGCAGAAACGTTCTGAGCTCACGAGATGGACGCAGTCATCTAGATCTGAGAGCTAGTTCCCCTCTTAAGGAAGATTCCACGTGGGAAAATCCAGACTTAGGAATCTGGTAAACCAGAGCTGACTGTGAAATGGTTTTCCCTCGGCAAAGGACTTCCTGCAGAGTTATTTCAAACCACAAGCCTCCCTGGGTCCATTCAAAGTACTCGATTTCCCCGAGATGTGTAGTTGAAACTTCGAACCCGTCTGTCTTGTTGCGGCCTTTTCCGAAGGCCGTGGAGGTCTGAGTGGAGGCTACGTTGGCGATGCCAGGTTATCCTGTAAAGAGTCGTCCCTGGAGGGAGGTGCGCTGACCTCGGCTTCTCCCGGGGGCATCATTTCTCTGCCCCGAGAGCCGACAGGATGAATGCAACTCAGAGAGGAGTGCACGTTCTGTGTGTAAACTCTGCCTCCTCAGGCCAAAAAAAAAAAAGACAAGAAGACAAGGAAGAAATAAGAAGTGAGCAGAGGCGCTAGAGTAGAGAGTTTACAGTTTATTCAGCTTTTGGTGGCAGCCACGGGATAAGAGTCAGGAACCCGTAGTTCTGGACATCCTGTCCAGATGGAGTTTTGAAATAATTCAGGTAATTTTTGCACAAGAATTGGGAGAAGGAGAGAAGGTGCCTAGATAGGCCAACTATCCTTATTTTAAAAGATGTAAATGCCCAGGCTGATCTGAGGTGGCATCAGGTGTGCGGGGAGTCAGAGACGTAAATGTTTGCAATAACAGTGTGGCACTTTCTTCGCATCCACGGGAATGTGATCTTTGGAGACACAAAAGCCTGTCGCCCCTCCTTCCAGCTGCTGAGTTCTCCCTCCAAGCGTGTTGATGAAGCTTCAACAGCTCAGCGCTATATTTAGCCCTCACCAAAATACTCACCTCCCAGACTCCACCCTTCCGTGCCCCTGAAAACTGGCTGTGTCTGCTGTATTTCTGTTCCAGCCCAACTCGAGTGTACGTGATTCCCGAGGAGCTGGGTCTAGGAACCATCGTGGCCAATATCACCGCTGAGGACCCTGATGATAAAGGTTTTACCAACTTCCTCTTCTACAGCCTCACCACCGTGAACCGCTATTTCATGATCGATCAGTGTAAGTCACGCGCACACACATCCTCATGTGCATCCTTTAATTCAGCCATTTGGATTGTTTTACAAATATCTTATCTGTCTCTGGTCTGGGGCATGCCTTTCTGTCTAGAATATCATAAATTTCCAGGGTAATAGATGTGTTAGAAGCAGCTGTTATGGGAGACAGCCAGGTGGCATAGTGGTTAAGTTCCCACACTCTGTTTTGGCAGCCTGGAGTTCATGGGTTCAGATCCCAGGCATGGACCTACACACCATTCATCAAGCCATGCTGTGGTGGTCCCACATACAAAATGGAGGAAGACTTGCACAGATGTTAGTTCAGGGCCAGTCTTCCTCACCAAAAAAAAAGAAAAAAGAAAAAACCAGCCAGCATGGGGCTGGGGAAACTGAACAGGGCCCCGTGTCACAGCTGTATCATCCTTCGCCTTTGAGGCAGGTACGTGTCTAAGGATGGATGTGTTCACTACCCTGAGGGTACCCTGAAGTCTTCAGAAGAGACAGTCCAGACCAGCACTTTCCAAAAGAAGACGAGTAGAAGCCACATATGTAATATTATGGTCTCCAGTGGCCACATTTTTAAAAAGTAAAGAGAAACAGGTGAAATTAACTTTAATAAGGCATTTTATTTAACCCGACATATCCAAAATATTATCATTTTAACATGTAATCAATATTTTACAGCTATTGATGAGATATTTACATTATAAGGCATTTTATTTAACCCAACATATCCAAAATATTATCATTTTAACATGTAATCAATATCTTACAGCTATTGATGAGATATTTACATTAGTTCTTTGGACCAAGTCTTTGAAGTTTGTCGTGCATTCTGTACTTACCGCGCATCTCAATTTGGACTTGCCACATTTCAAGTGCTAAATAGCCACATGCGGCTAGTGGTTCCTGCGTTGGACTGCATCGATCCAGATGGATCTGCTGGGTTGCTGGAGGATTTCCCCATCTAAGCATCTCGGTGCAGAGGAGGAGAGTTTCTCCCTCCTAGAAGAGCCGTCTTTTATTGGGGTCTTAGTACAGACTGGGCACCGTGGGGAGTGATCCACGCCTTCCATCGGAGGCGCTCAGCACAGCAACCCAAGGAACCATCACAATCCACCTTTCATGGATGAGGAAACAGGCGGAGAGAGAACCCGGGCAGGTTAAGTGACTTGCCCAAGGTCGCACAGCTGGTGGGTTGTAAAGCAGAGGTGCAAACCGAAGGTGCTCTTCTCCAGCACCGGCTCTCTTGACCACTCCTAGACGGTACCACCTCGTGAGTCCCGTGTCACATCACCAAAAAGGACTTGGTTATACATAGTGATTTTGTGGAGGCCTGCGTCGACAATCCCAGAAAGACAAGGTGTTCTTTGCCCCATTGGCTTTAGGGCGAAGGCTACTTGTTCCCAGGACAGGAGGGCAAGGGCAGAATGGTGCTCTCCCTTTGAAAGCTTCCTGTGTCCTGTCGTCCAGGACCTCACTCAGCTGACAATGTATGGAGGGACAATAGTGGCTTAGAGTTCTGTTCACTCTGGTGTTGCAAACTGAACTTTTAACAAATACGGTGGGTTTTTGGAACATATTTATTAAGACTCTTTATTTGCAAGTAACAGGCACTAAGGCAAGCCTAAGCAAGGAAAAAAAAAAAAAAAGGTGGAGATACCCATCAACAGGATACTGGATATTTCATGAGAAAGAGCGGGAGTTTGGGGCACAGGAAGGGTGGGAACCAGGGCTGCCCCATCCACCTCGGCAGCTGGAGATCTGGCCTCTTATCTGCAGCTCCACTATTAACCTGACCTGTGTCTCTCAGTTACAAATTCTCCAGTAAGAGCACCCAGTGGGTCAAGCTGGAGTCAGATGTCTACCGGTCCGGTCAGCATGGTTGACACAGTTCTCAACATAGGGCAGCCCATGGGCAAGGACTGCTGCCAGGGGCCCAACCCTGAAGTCTCAGGTCAAAAATTCTAGAAGGGTCAGGCCAGACACCCCAATCGATGTCGAAGATAGGAACTTCCATGAGTTGTGTGTGTGTGTGTGTGTGTGTGTGTTTTGCTGAGGAAGGCTGGCCCTGAGCTAACATCCATGCCAATCTTCCTCCACTTTATATGTGGGATGCCACCACAGCATGGCTGACAAGGGGGTGTAGGTCTGTGCCGAGGATCAAAACCCGTGAAGCTGGGCCACCAAATCAGAACATGCCAAACTTAACCACTATGCCATGGGGCTGCCCCTTACATGAGTTTTTTTTTTTAATGTATTTGTATAGAAGGTATTCTCTTTGTAAGCCAGTCCCCATACCAGAATGTTCTTTTCCAAGTTACTCCAAGTCTCCATCTTCCTTTACTCTTCATTTCTCTTCAAAGAATCATGTTCTAACCTTTGCCTTCTCAGTGACTGGCACCATCCAAGTGGCGCACAGGCTAGACCGAGATGCAGGTGAATTAAGACAAAATCCAGCCATTTCTCTGGAAGTTCTGGTGAAGGACAGACCCTCGGGGGGTCAGGAGTGTCGCATGCAGATAACCTTTGTTGTGGAAGACATTAATGACACCCCTGCTGCATGTACCAAGTTCACCTTCAGGTATTCACATGCTGAGACATGGGCTGGGCAGGTCCCCTCATTGGTGGCCCTCGACCCTTTGGCTTCTCGGATATATTGTCAGCAGGAACTGAAGAATGATGGGCATTTGGGTCATGGCTCACCAGAATAAGTGGATTTGAACTGTCTGATTTAGTTGATGGGTTTTCCACTCGTTATCCTTTTTTCTTTCCTCTTGTTCATTTTCTTTCCTCTTTGTTGTCTCCTTTCTCTGCTGTCTCACTCTGTTGAAAAATATTCCTATTTTGCTCTCTTCTATAACATGTTCATCTCTGATGGTGAAAAGTACCACCGGGACTTGTAAGACCCTCTCTGGACTGTACCTTTTCTTTATTTATTGTCACCGGTGGCAAGACGGTGCGATGAGTTAGCCGTGATAATAGCTGCTTGAGACTTCGGAGTAGTACCTAGGAGCTCCCGGAGAAACACACCACCAGGAAGACGAATAAATCAAACCAAGTATTTGCTTAAAACAAAACAAAGCATCTAATTCACCTTACGCAACTTAAATGCACGTAAACAAAAGACAACGGGAAGGGAAAAAACGCAGACACGAGTGAGAATCAAGTTCTTTTGTATATTTTGATCTGTTCTTGGTCTCATCAGCTCTTCACCGTTATTTTAAAGCCAATTCCCTTGGGATTCTGGGTTAATATGCCTTTTTGAAAACAGTACTGTCTTTCTACTAACTGTTTTGTTTAATGGCACAAGATTAGGTATTCCCGGGCTGGCCTCACCTCTGCGTTTCCTAATATTGAGGTTCCAGTTTCCCGGGGGTCTGAAGGTGGCTCCCCCTAGGGGCGGGGAGGGCACCTGTGCAGCCCCTTGCTGAGGGAGTGCCCTGCATCTGGGACAAGGCTGGAGCCCAGAGCAGCCCTCACTTTCAGATGTCCCCTCACAGAGAGTCTCTTTCTCAGTTTATCTTTGACTGGTTTTGCAAGCACACTTTTTAAGCTCCAGGTGACTTTGAAAACAGACCCAATACATAGTATGGCCACGCAAAGGACAAAAGACCCTACAATCTTTGCAAGAGCAATAGAAGTACAAATTCCTTTATTATGCTTATGAATGTCTCCCCCTGTTCCCAGTTGGCACGCCCAGCATACTGGTCAGAACCAGTATGGCCTTGGGTCTGATATTAAAACAGTTAAACCTTGCTCTGGACACACCCCACTTGCCCCTCCAGGTCCAGTCTCCAGCCTCCCGCACCCCGCTCTGTGCCCCAGGAGGCTGACCTGTGTGGACATGGACTGGCTCCCTTGCCCTGCAGCTTCGGGCTGGCTAATGGGAAGCCATGGAATGAGGGGGAGCGTGAGGTCAGGGTATTTATCCCCCGGCTCCCTCCCTGTGGCAGGATAAGTCCCTCCGCCTCCTGAGGGGCTCCGTTCCCATAAGGCAGCCCTCTGCACACACTGCTCTCTGTCCCCGGGCTCTGGCTTCAGGAACGGCTCCCTCTCTGACTCCTCCAGGCCCAGAGGTGGAAAGGGAGCTCCAGTCTCGCTAGCCCTGAGATACCACACCCGCCCTTGAGACGTCCATACGCCCTGTGTGCGCCTTTGTATAGCCCCTTAGTAAACCCTCCTAGAATTACCCTAATTTGCCATCTGCGCCCTGTTGAGACCCCAATGGAGTCAACAGTAGCCTTGACCGTGTGAGAGGTTCCTGTCCCACCCCTAACCTCAGAGTCTGTTGATGGGTGGGGATGGTCGCCATGGTGGGTAGTCAGGACTGTGACTTCCACACCGTTACCTGCGTAGATGGAACCCACCTCTGTTAAGAGGAGTCTGGGCCCTGGAGATGGAGTAGAGGTGACATGCAGAGTCACACTTCTCCTTTCTTTGAAAATCTAAACCTATGCTGTGCTCTTGTGTGGCCCCAGAGCATCCTGGGGTATTCTTCTCCTCAGGTCCTGCCTCTGAGACCCTTCTGCTCTTCTTCTTGAGGAGTAAGAATTTTGGGTATCAGTGACAGGAGGACTGAGCTGTCCGCAGCCTTCCTTGTCCCTTTTCTCCCCTTGGTGCATTTCTATTGAGTGCACACTGTGGCTTCCTGCAGCCCAGAGGCCCTGACGTGGGGGATGACAGTCTGCAGGCTGCATTCCACGTCAGCTGGTAAATCACATTTTGAATATCCTACACCACCCCAGGCAAGCCCATGCAGAGCCACGCTCTTGGTAATCTTCTCTCCAAACGAGCCCTGAAGGTCAAGGCCAGCCAGCAACTGGACTAATTGTATTTATTACTGAAGGTGGCTCTAAACAACAGTCAAGTCCCTCCTGGGGGCTTTTCCAGGGAGAGTAACCCGCAGCCATCCTGTGAAAGCCAAGACGTGAGGAGGGGCAACACAGGGCTCCTTCCTGGGCAGTCTCGGAAGTGGAAGTCTCCTCGCCAAAGTCCCAGCCTCATTTGCATACTCCAGGGGCTGGGGACTCTGACCCCGTGTCACCTGCCATCCTCCCAGCTTCCCCATCCCCACCACGCCGGAAGCACGCTAGCCCAGCAACACCATCGGGGCTGCCCCATCTCCACAACACTGGTCCCTGAGGATTTCTTCCGTCTTCAGGGCTCTGGGGGGAGTTTGGGAGAGCAGGTAGGAGAGGGTGGGAGGGGCAGCCCCGGTGGGTGGGAGGAGACAGGTGGCTGCAGGCCGGCCCCCAGCTGCCTCCGTGGGCGCCTGGGTCGCGCAGCCTCTCAGGCCAGCTGGAGATGGAAACGGCCCCTGCGGCTTTCCCAGGCTGCGGATGAATGAGCCCGGGCCGGATGGAGGCATCAAAGGCGCCGTGACAGCCCCGTGCTGCCTGTAAAGCGTCAGGCGCTCGCCTGAAAGCGCGGGGCAGGCCGATGTGAGCCCGAGGCGGGCAAGGTCGCAGATTCAGAGATTCAGAACCCTCGCCGGGGCGGGAGCCAGGCTGGGCAGCCTGTCTCCCTTCTGAGCCTGGGAGGGATGAATGAGGGAGCCGGGTTTCCCGAGTCACAGGTTTCAGAAAAAATACTGTGTCAGGGAAGAATGAATAGAACAGGCCGGCAGTCCTGGGGGGCCTGTGTGCAGGCCTCCTGTGGGGTGTCTGAAGTGACTGGCTTCAGAACCCTGGATTCTCCGGATGACCAGCCTCCTGGCTTTGGCAGAGTTGGAATCAAGGCTCAGATTCCGCGAACCGTCCGTGGGCCTGGAGATTCATGCATGGAATTAACAGCGACTGGAACACAGACAGTAGAGACTTGTGCCTGGCTGGATCCACTTTCTTGCACAGGTCTTGAAACCACTCTGCACTACTCTTTCTTCACCTGTAAAATGGGGACAAGAATACAAACCTCTTGGAAACGAGATAATTAGAGAGAGTGTTTTTAAAGTGCTCCATCTGATACAGCATATAGTTGGTGTCTAATAAATGGTATCTATTCTAAGCACTTATGAATAAAACCGTGTCATTGTTCAATCAAGACAGGAGTGGAAATGCTCAGGCTCCAGTTCTGCTGACTCACAGAGGCAGTTTTTGCCAAGGGGGTATCGTGGAGATTCAACTACACCTGTCAGAAAAACTGCTTCCAGGAAGCAAACCCGGTTATCCTCAGAAGTCTAAGACCGTCCTTGCTGTCACACTGCTCCGCGTTCGCTGAGCCCAGAGCCCACTGTCGCTGCTGTTAAGGGATGATGTCGAGGAAGCATAACTTGGTCTCAGAGAGAGGTGACAGTACAGAGGATTAAAGACCTTAACGCATGTCAGTCTGGGTGCTCAGAGAACAAGATGCCACCACAGCATTAAATGTGCAAGGCTTGTTATTAGGGGAAATGCCTGTGGGAGAAAATGGGGAGAGGGCTAGACAAGGCTGGGAGAGGCATCAGACCCCGATGCAAGTCCAACCTGAGTGAAGGAGAGAGGGAGGGAGGGCGGGTGGAAATGTTCTAGTCTTCAGAAGGTTTGGCTAGGGCACCGGGGAGTCCTGGAACCAGTCAGCTGTCACAGGACAGGAATGAGTGGGCCTTAGTATCTGTCACGCCCAGGCGTTGGTGCATGGCCTCACTGCAAACACAGCGATGGATTTCAGAGCACAGCTGCTGGGGTCTGTGGTCAGTTATGTTCTCATGGCTGAAGGTCTTCCGGGGACATTCTCATGGCAGCCACAGTATATTTTTGTCAGAAATTCTGTCCGAGATAAAACATGATTGAGGTAAGTAGCAAAACAAAACGAAACAGAAAACCCAAAACACAGTCGCAGATGCCTCCCTGCTGGTACCCATGCCCCTTTGTGCCGTGATGTTGCCACTCTTCCCATCAAAAGAGGCATTGCTCGTTCTACTCCTTGAATGTGGACTTGACCATGTCCATTGCTTTGGCCACTGGAACATTCACAAACATGGCACTGCGGAGGCCTGATATGTGTGTGTGCCCTGGGACTTGCCTTCTTTTCTACTTTTGGGAGACTAGCCAAGCCGGACTAGGACAAAAAGAACGGATGGATAACTCTTGTTATTGTAAGAAATAATAAATGCCTGTCGTTTTCAGCCACTAAGTTTTGGGCTGGTTTGTTTTGTAACAAAAGTTAACTGACATGATTTATGTCCATTTTATAGATGGACAAGCTGAAACCTGGAGACCCAGTAAAGTCCTCAGTGAACACAGGCCTAGTGGTGTTAATGTCTCTTCCTCAGGGTCCCATGCTAAGCTGGGCCTGACCAGAGGGCTCTGAGTTTGGGGCAGTTTTACTCATTTGTGCAATTTGCCTAGACCCTGGTGTCAGCTGAGATTATTCGACTCTTAATAGACCTCTATTGATTGAGTGATACCAAGGTGTCAGGAGACGCTTCTATGACATCAAAGCCATTAGAACAGAAGTCAAGGAGTTCCCAATCTTCAGAGCACGGGGGGTGCGAGCACAGGGGTACAGGGCTTTCCCCCAACCGGACTATGAACTCCTGCGGGCAGGGGCAGAATTTCTTTCTCTTCTATTCTTCTTCACTGCTGTGCTGCTCTCAGAAGCTACTATGCGGTCACTCAGCAAATATTTACTGAGCCTGCCAAGAACAAAGCAAAGGTCCCTGTCCTCAGGGAGCTTCCATTCTAGGGGGAAATAGGTGATCAACAGGATAAAGAAGTAAACTACATAGTATATTGGAAAATGGTAAGTGCTAAGAATTAAAAACAAAGGGGGGACAGGAGAGGGCGCATCCAGCGGGGGTGGGGGGGTCATTGACATTTTAGATAGGGTCTCCAGGGTGGCCTCCTGAGAAGGTGACATTTGATTAGAGACTAAAGAAAGTGAAAGAGCAAGCGATGTGAATATTTGTGGGAAGAGCCTTGCACGGAAGGTGGAATGGCCCTGAGGCCAGGCCTGGGGGGTGTTCAGGGAGCACCAGGAGGCCAGAGTGGCAGGAGTGGAGTGAACAAGAGTCAGCAGGAGATGAGTGCAGACAGGTAAGGGTGGGGGGCTGCCGTGCATCGCAGAGGGTCCCGTAGATCAAAGTTAGGACTTTGCGTGAAATGAGGAGCCACTTGGCGTTCAGGAACAGAGACGCGATGTGGTCTGACAACACTGCAACAGGATCCCTTTGGCTGCTGTGTTAAGAATAGTCTGAAAGGAGGCAAGGGCAGAGCAGGGGCACCAGGTCGGTGGGCACTGCCAGGACCACGGACTCGCTCTGAATGGAAAGTAAAGCAGCGCGGTCTAGCCCAGGGCCCGTGTTAGAAGGAACACTCCATCGCCATTTGTTGTGGAAAACATTGAATCTTGTCTTTTCGCCAGCGTTATGGTGTCTGAAAGAGCAGCCAGGGGGACGCTGCTTCTGGACCTGAACAAATTCTGCTTTGATGTTGACAGCGAAGCACCGAACAACCAATTCAACTTCACCGCGCCATCTGGAATGGGGAGCAGCGGCAGGTTTTCACAGGATCCAGCTGGCTCTGGGAAAATTGTGGTCAGTGAACGGTCATTGCATCGTTGAAAGGGCATGGGGGAAGCTGGGCTAACAGGCCGAGTGGTTTTGCAGCCCCACAAAGAGAAATTTCCAAGGTAACTCCCTCTCTGAGCGACTGTAAGTGACAGGCTTCCAAGCGGCTCTCTTGTTCCTGGTGGCTCTTTATTTGACCCCAGTTCGTTTGTTTTGCCTGGTATTGCCTGGGGTGCTAAGGACCCGAGTCTTTCTTGCAGAGCTGGCAGTTTGCGTGTCTGTGTAGCTGCCTCTGCAGTCACGTTAGTGCCCTCTGGGCTCCAGCCCTTCTGTTAATTTGAGTGCTCGTTCCAGGCCCAGGGAGGTGCGAGGTGAGAGAGAGCAGGGCCTGGGCTGAGTGTGTCTTGCTGAATTCAGCAGTGTCGAACCCCTGGAGGCCCAGAGGAGCCTGAGAAAATGAGGCTGTGCTGGTAGCCCTGTTCCCCAGCCCACGCACAGGGGCAAAAGCAGGAAGAAGGATGGGCGGGTCTCAAGGAGCTGTGCAAGAACTTTACCCACAGGGTTCCCGCTGGAGGGTGGTGGGGAAGGAGGAGAGAAAAATGGAAGGGCAGAGCAGGAAGGGGGTCTTGGAGAGGGGTGGTCTGCATCAGAGATAAAGCCTCAGGGAGGACAGCAAGCAGCTCACTAGGCAACCTCTCCACTCCCTCTGCCTCCCCACCCAAGCCCATCTTCAATGCCCAAGAAAGTCTTACCAATTTTATTCATAGTGTCATCTGAAAAGTAATTTCTATTTTGGTCTGTTTAGGAAATTAATACATGTTCCCTGTAGAAAACACAGAAAAGCATTACCATTCAGTGATAACCTCTATTAACATTTTGATGTATTTCCTTCTTGTCTTCCTCTCTATGTATAGATTTTTTGTTTGTTTGTTTTTTGAGGAAGATTAGCCCTGAACTAACATCTGCTGCCAATCCTCCTCTTTTTGCTGAGGAAGACTGGCCCTGAGCTAACATGTGTGCCCATCTTCCTCTACTTTTTATGTGGGATGTCTGCCACAGCACGGCTTGACAAGCGGTGCCATGTCCGCACCTGGGATCCGAACCGGTGAACTCCAGGCCGCCAAAGCAGAACATGCACACTTAACCGCTGCGCCAAGGGCCTTGCCTCTCTATGCATAGATTCTATGTATATTCTGTACATATATGCATAAGTATTTTAAATGATGGGAATATCCCTGCATATGGGATTCTATGTCATGCTTCTCTTCCACTAATCTAAAGTCTTAAGCCTATGATGTTGGGCAATAGTGTTCCATGGACATCTTTAGACATAGATTCTCTCTCCTGATAAATTCTTTCGAATAAATTCTCTAGCAGTCAGCGAAGGTATGGATGTAACTTTTTAAAGCTCCTCCTATGGGCAAAATGCTTTCCAGAAAGGTTTTGCAATTTACATGTCCGATAACAGTGTATGAAAATGTCTTTGTCAGTTTAATGAAAAGGATCATTCGTGCTGTGTAATCCGATCTCTTTGTTTGAACCCAGTTGGTTGGTGATCTAGATTATGAAAATCCGAGTAACCTGGCAGCCGGCAATCAGTACTCAGTGATAACCCAGGTGCAGGATGTTGCCCCTCCTTACTACAAAAGCAAGTATCATTTTGATTTATTTCATGAAGCATCTTCCCTGAGTAGCAATGACTAAACTGTGCCAGGCAATACTCAGTGTTGGACTAGGTGTTTGCGTTCAAAAGGAGACTTCAAAAAACCCAGACCCTTGGGAATCAGCCCAGCCTCCTCCTGCCCTTCACCGAGCGCATTTAACCAGTCTCCAAGGCCTTTCTTCTGTGTCACCTCCTAAAATCTCCGGGATCTGCTGCCTCCCCCCATCCCACTAGCACTGCTCTCATGCAGCGCCTCCCCTTTCTCAGCTGAAGTACACCACCAAGAGTCTTGGAAGGGTCTTTCTGCCTGCCTTTAGTCTTTCCCCCTTCCAATGCATCCTCCACGTTTCTGACCGTGATTTTCAGGAAATATAAATGCCGTCATATTACTTCCTTGCTTAAAGCCCTTGGGTGTCTCCCCGTAGCTGTCAAGTTCAAGGTCAAACTCTTTGACTTGGCACACAATGATTTTCATCATCTACCCCTACCTAACTGTCTAGCTTCAGCGCCCATTGCTTGCCTCTAAGCCCCCTTTATTCCAACTAGGCAAACAGCTTGCGGTTTTCCTGATGAATCATGCAGTTTTAGACCTTGGCATCCTTGCATGTGCCTAGACTGCGCCCCCATTCCACCCTTGCCCGATTTGTCTAGCTCTATCCTTATAAGGCTCAGCTTGCACTTCCTCGGGCTTCTGTAGTGACCTCTACGTGTGTTCATCCAAAGGCAACTACCGTAAGCATCCCAAAGGCGGGAACCACCAGGTCTTAGTCATCTTGGGTCTCTGATATTTTGCACAGAGCCTGGCTCACAGAAGATGCTTTAAAACTATGGAAAAAAGATGAATGAATGAGAATAGAATGTTGTGATTTACTTTTTTTTCTATTTCCATTTTTAGATAACATCTACATTTATATCCTAACCAGCCCAGAAAATGAGTTTCCTCTTGTCTTTGATAGGCTGTCCTACGTATTTAACGTGTCAGAATTAAGACCAGGTAAGTAACAGATGAGACACAGACCCCAGTGCTAGATGGACCTCTCCATCTCCCTTCCAGAAGCCCGAGGCGGGGCTGTGCACAGCGGTTCACAGCTGAGTCCTGTTTATCGCCTCTCTTATCTCCCTTTAAATTGTCTGCACTGCTGAGGGGCCCTTCAGGTGAAATGTAGATTTTGAAAGCAGCTGATTAAACTGCCCCTGATTGCTTCCTTGTCCGTGGGCCGATCCACATAGTCCTCCTCCCTTTGGTGGCCTAAGTTTTCCCTTGGTCTCCACGGTGGTTTTTATCCAGCTCATTCAGAGAACTGAGATTTAACAATAGGGAAAAGTTTTCCCATTTCTACATTTCCTTCATTTAAAACAAAATAAAGACATTTTCTCTCTCCCTTAACAGGATTCCCTGGAGCCACTCTTTCACCCTTTATGTCACCTTGATCTTGGCAGGGTCCTCCCCCATTAGGGGACAGACTCCTCCCCTCACTTCCAGCCAGGTGGGAAAGTCGTCCTGTTACTTCTAGCATCATCAGATGCCGCCCGTGGATACTTCTTCTCTATTAAACAAACCAACCCCAAACCCTCCCTCTAAAATGATCCCCTCCCCATTTTATTCCCTCTCTTTATGCCGGTCTGCATTTCCTGACATTAAGCCTTAAACAAAGTACAAAAAGCGGGTCCAAAGGAAATGCTTTTATTCCTTGTGTCTTACCCAGTAAATAACAAATGCAACAGGAATAGGCTTTGTATGAATTCACAGAGCTTACTACAGTTACTTTATTTTTTTGAGGAAGATTAGCCCTAAGCTAACATCTGCTGCCAATCCTCCTCTTTTTTGCTGAGGAAGACTGGCCCTGTGCTGACGTCTGTGCCCATCTTCCTCTACTTTATCTGTGGGATGCCTGCCATAGCATGGCTTGACAAGCAGTGCATAGGTCTGCACCCGGGATCCGAACCGGTGAACCCTGTGTTGCTGATGCGGAAAGTGCGAACTTAACTGCTGCACCACCAGGCAGGCCCCCTTACTACCGTTATTAATCACTGACTTTGGGTCAAGAGCTTAGTGCTGGGGCCACATGGTCGAATAAGAGAAGGTTCCTGCCCTGGAGGAGTGTAATCGATGAGGAAGAACTTGTGAAAACAAGCAGACCAGAACCCCACAGCCCCACCCACAGGATTTGTAAAATAAACAAAATGGAACAGCGCTTAAAAACCTATACCCTGTAACCATCAGTTACTAAACCCCTTAAAAGATTGTTGAATCCATATGGCGACGGACAAATAACAATGTACAAGTGAGATTTCACAACATTATAAACTATTATGGCTTCAATAAAAAAAATTGTTTTCTGTTCATCTTGTTTATAAGAGCAGTTCCTGCTCATTATCGAAAATGTGAAAAACACGAAAGAGTTTTAGACAATCGTGCAAAGAGTTGTCTGCATGAGGACGTTCTTTGCAGCGGTGCTCGTGATCGCATAGTAACTGGTGTGCTTGGTGTCTATATAAAGACGGGAATTGTCTTACGTCTCACGGTCCTGCGTGGATCAGTTACCTAAGGGGTGCTCATTAGCACATTTTGAATTTAATAGAATTGAAGTATAAAACGCACAGAATCTGAACAGCAAAGAGGCCTCCAGAAGTCTCTGCGCATGGCAGTGAGAGTGTCTGCTCTGGGTCCTCCCTGTGGCCCCCAAAACACGACTAATCTTGGGTACTTGATTCTTGCAGCTAGAACCCGCGTTGGACAGGTGCAAGCGACTGATGGAGACCTCCCCTCGCGCAGCGTCGTGTACTCTATCTCCTCCGGAGGGGCCAGCAGACAGTACCCAAACGTGTTTTGGATTAATCCCCAAACGGGAGAACTCCAGCTGGTGACGAAAGTGGACCACGAAACAATCCCCATCTATATTCTCAGAATCCAGGCCACCAATGGCGAGGACACGAGCTCAGTCACCGTGAGTGGGGCTGTCTGGGGCGTTCACATGAGCCTGATCGACGGGCTGACTTAGGGTCTCTCTGGTACCCTCCAGCTGTGGCCGTAGCAACAAGGGATCTTAACAGGGCACATCCTGCAGATGTGACAGGAAATGACCGGTGGTGTCCAGGACAGCACAATGGGCCACACATTGTGGTGCCCAGGAAAAAAAGATTGACATCTGTAGGCCCAACTTTGTGGGTGGCTGCGAGGAGGTTGAGACTGAGACTGAGGGCCAGAGGTGGAATATTGCCACTGTGGGGGACACGCTTCCTCCTGCCGCCCTGTCCATCTCCCTTGGCATCTGCGGTGGGCTGACGGCGAGATACACCCTGCCAGAAGTGGGGCATGGTTTCCCAGCTCTGCATTGCCCCCGTAAGAGCCATTTTGCCATGTTCCTAGCCCACCTCCATCACCTGGGATGGGGTGGATCTTGAAACGACAGGGCTACGGCTTCTCGCCCTTTGATTCTGAGAATCTGGTTAAATGCACATCTGACTCAGCAGGTCTGAGTCGGGCCCGAGAACCTGCGTTTCAACCTGTGCTCACGCAGCTGGTCCACAGCCACGCTTTGAGTAGCAAGGTTTGAACAGGTCTGTGCCGTCAGTGGTTAGAATAATCTGAGGGCAATATGATGGCCACAAAGACAGAACTACGTCTTGGTCTTTCCCATTAGGAAAGTGACAAAGCATAAGGCAAAAGGACTCAGCTGGCGGCAGGCAGCCCTGTGTGATAGAGACAATGTTCAGAGTCAGCAAACGAAGTTCATTTCTCAACTGTGATCCCAATTTTCCAAGCGGGTCAGAGCAATGCCCACCTTTGTGTCCCAATTTCTCTCTCCCTTAAATGGAGAGTCACCTGATAACCCAACACTTGAATAGTCCCGTCCCTCTGATGACTGACTTTGAATTAATGGGACGATGTTTTTAATGAAGTGGACGCTCGGCGTTGCTAGCTGAGGAAAAGACGTGCAGAGCTGGAGATCACTGTAGTGTTTGTTAGGCTGGGTTTTTCAGAAAAACGAATGGACTCCACTTTGGGAGCTAACTAGAGTGGACATTTCAATTTATTCCTGGGCTCAGAAATAGCTGAAATGCCCAAATTTCAAAGGTGGAATGAATACAACTCAAATTCATAAGCTTTTAAAAAGGGTGACGACCACACAGGTCCCTTTCAGGGCTGCTGTTCTATGATTTGGTGCTGGCAGGCGTCCTTGTCCGTGTTCCAATTCTCCAGGCATAAAAGACATGACGAAAGAGAAGAAGCTGCCCCCGCTTGTGGCAGGTTAGCGCTGCCAGCTTTGTACAGTGCTGACGGCCCAGGTTGCTGATGAAATCCTGGCGTAGCCGGGTCGTCTCCCATCCCAGTGGTTCTCAACTGTGGCTGCATATCAGGATCAGCTGGGAGCATAAGAAAAACGTGTGGGCCCCACCCTCCAGAGAGTCCAATTCATTAGGTCTGCAGTGGGCCCGAGAAAGTAGAGGCAAAGTAGGGAACCATTGCTCTATGTTCCAAAGTTAAAGATGGAACTTCTCATTCACAAGGACAGCAAGCAAGGAAGTACAGGGGGTCACCATAAATCTGTAATCATTACTGGAGAAACAACTCAGCAGCATCTGGGGACGAGCCCATGCATCAAGGTGCAGGTGTTTGGGGGTGCATGAACACATACGCATGTGATACACACCCACACACACACACACAGTGCAGAAGTTGATAGCATAGGACTTGGAGTGGGATAGACCTGAGCTGAAATCCCAGCTGTGCCACTCATGGGCTGAACAGCCTTAGGTCAATTACCTAATGTCTCCAGGCCTCAGCTTCCCCATCTGTGAAGTGGGAGCATTCATGTTCTCTGTCTCAGGTGAGCTTAAATGAGCCCATCCACAGGAAGCGCACAGCCCAGCGCCTGGTGCTCAGTGGGGGCTCGGTGAGTTTCAGCTTGTAACGCTGGCCGCCTTCTCGCTGCCCTAGGTTACTGTGAACATCCTTGAAGAAAATGATGAAAAGCCAATTTGTACCCCAAACTCTTATTTCCTGGCCGTCCCAGTGGATCTGAAAGTTGGCACAAATATTCAGAATTTCAAGCTGATGTGTACTGACCTCGATTCCAGTCCCTGGTCTTTTCGATATTCCATTGGCGCAGGTGTGGACTGGGTGTCGACGGTGCTGGCCCGGTTCTTGGTGCGGCTGTTAGGGAGGACGGGGTGGGTCTGTGCTGGGGGCGCAGTGTCTGGGTGGGGGTACCTTGCAAGAGGAGAGCCCGGATGGGGAGTCTAACAGTCCTTGTCTCCCAGTCCTCTTGTCTTCCCTTCTCCTCACCCACCCCCTCCCAGACTCCATACAAGGCCACCCAAAGGCCCAGGGAAGGGTGAGTCCCATTGACGGTGACTCCCCCAAAACTCCCAGACTGTCATATAATTCATGAATCATGTTAGTGTAGTTAAAAAATTATTTTTAGTCCAACAGCTCAACCACCTCTTTTCCTGAAAGCTTGTAGTGGGGGCGGGGACTCCCGGGCCTTTCTCTGGATAATAATAGATTAAATAGATTAAGTGCATTTTGAACTGTGTCCTCAGGAATTCTCTTCTGCTCCATTCATTTTCTCTCTCTAAAAATATACCATTGTGGGAAACAAAAAAAAAAAAGAGCACCCTCGATGGAAATTAGACCAAAATAGCTCCTCTAATGAAGTGCTGAGGCCAGAGATCTAAACCCAAGCAAGCAGAGCAATTCCACGCGGAAGGGTGAAAATCCATCTTGGCCGCCTGCTGGGCCCTGGCAGAGCAGGAACTCGAACGGTAGGAAGCCAGCCTCTCGAGCCGCCGTGGCACAAACCCCAGGGGCAGAGAGGGCCTCGAGACTGCAGTTGCGAAGATGGAAATAATCCATACCGAGAACCCTCAGGCCTCTGTGAAGCGCATCGCTGCTAAGGGAGGACAAATTGCACCATCTCCTGCTCCATTTCCTGGTTTCAGTCGGTAATGAGTCTGGAGCCACTGGAGGAAGGAGCCAGGGCCGCTAGGGTGGGCAGCCTCTCTGCCCTGGGCTCCCTAAGCTCTGAGTCTTGAGGCCAACAGACTTGGGGGGAGAATGGGGAATGGGTTCGAGGGGATCTGGGACTGTGCTCCCTGCAAAGCCAGGAGGCACCCTCCTTTTTGGGGGACCCAGGCGTGTCTGTTATCAGTGCTGTTGCAGGCTCGGTGAGCTGAGAAGTCGAAAGAAAGATTTCTTGGACTCTCAAGGTCTGGCAGTAGTGCTCTTTTATTCAAAGAATTGTATGGAATAGCATGGGGACAGGACCCATGGGCAGTAAGAGCTGCAGGCATGGGGACAGGACCCGTGGGCAGTAAGAGCTGCAGGCATGGGGACAGGACCCGTGGGCAGTAAGAGCTGCAGGCATGGGGACAGGACCCGTGGGCAGTAAGAGCTGCAGGCATGGGGACAGGACCCGTGGGCAGTAAGAGCTGCAGGCATGGGGACAGGACCCGTGGGCAGTAAGAGCTGCAGGCATGGGGACAGGACCCGTGGGCAGTAAGAGCTGCAGGCATGGGGACAGGACCCGTGGGCAGTAAGAGCTGCAGGCATGGGGACAGGACCCGTGGGCAGTAAGAGCTGCTGCAATGTGTTGAGGGTTAGGGCTAAATTCATGAGGCATGGGTACGTGACTTATTTTTACTAGACAAAGAAAAGATGATGTAAAAAGTCATTAAATGGTTTCAGTGCAGATGGGGTCTGGTTATTGTGTGGTCGTATAACTTTAGATATGTGTTGGGTCATATAGATCGGCATGTAGGCCAGGATGCCCTGGGCTTCTCTCCCTGGGGCAGCCTTGATCCACGTCAGTCTGACCAGCCAGCTTCCACGAAAGGCATGGAATGAACTTGGCCTATAGCTAGGGACGTGGCCTGCTCTATCCTCTTGCTGCCCACTCATTGGTCTGAGTGTGAGTTTCATGTTGTTACCAAATAAATGCCGGGTGATGAGGATTGGCTAGAGAGGCTGCACCCGGATTATTAATTCTCTCTGCCAGATGCTCAGCAAGATGGCGGCCATTCTCCTGGGACCCGTGTGCTGTTGTCCTTTTCTACTCTCACCCTCATTGCAGCCATGCTGGTTGTGAGCAAGAGTTTCTTTGTACTAATGAAATCTCTGGCTCAGTTAAGGCCGATAGCGTAGCCCTGGTGCATAAGACAGTCTATTCCTGCGGCCTGGACGTTTGCAGAAAAGGCTGAATGCAGTTTTCTCCTAAACCTTTATTTCTCACCCTCTTTTCTTCCTTTGCCCAAAATCCTCATGTCAAATCACATTTAGGCAACATCAACAGTCATTTCACGTTCTCTCCCAACGCTGGCTCCAATGTTACACGCCTGCTCCTCGCGACCCGCTTTGACTACGCTGGTGGGCTTGATAAGATCTGGGACTACAAACTGCTGGTGTACATAACTGATGACAACTTGCTGTCCGGCAGGAGGACAGCTGAAGCTCTTGTTGAAACAGGCACTGTGACACTGAGTATTAGTGTCGTTCCTCACCCAACCACGACTGTCACCACGACTCTCAAGGTAAGGGCTTTGGGACATGGCCTCCCCACTTACATCCCTTGTGATGAACATCGATGCAGCCCTTTGACCCAGGAGAAATGTGGGATGGACTGAAAAGAGCTGAGGTATTAGGATGGTGCCAGGAATGGCAACCATGGGCTGGATTGGAGTCACTGGGTGGTAGGTAAAGATCTCGGGGAGACCTTGCACTTGTAGAACCATTAACTTCCTCTTCTGGTAAATAAGGGTGGGCACTGACGTAGGGACTTGTGATAGACCAGGGAGTGACCACCTATGGTGCCCGTGGCACAGGAGCCAATTTTCATGGGCGTGTGGCCAGTTGCTACCTTCCCAACCTCTTCTCTGCTTGCTCTTAAGAGCCAATGAGAGTCAATGTCCATGAAAGCAGGGAGATGCCAGGTGTGCTTCTCCAGTTCTTTTGAAGAGTCACCATGTGCCAATCTTCACCCTACTCCCCATCTCTACCCCGCCAAAATTCATTCATTCAATCTACAGACATTGATTTATACCTATATTATGTCAATCACTTTGGTGAACAAGCCCAAAATGATCTCTGCTTTCACGGAACTTATAGGATAGGTCAGTAGTTCTCAAAGGGTGGTCCCCAGAGCAGCAGCGTCAGCATCACCTGGAGATTGGATAGAAGTGCAGACTCTCAGGCCCACTCCAGAATCTTAAAGTTATACCTCCACCACCCGTGACCATCACCACGACCTCCACGGAAAGATGCTGGAACGCCAGCTGCATCCCCAGCCCTACTAGAGCAGAAACTCTGGGTGTGGGGCCCAGCCATCTGTGTTTTTAATAAGGCGTCCAGGGGATTCTGATGTGTGCTGAAGTTTGAGAGCCACTTACCTGGAAGGGGAGACAGATTGCAAACAAGTATGCTTGTTAATAAACTAGCTACGGATGTCTTCAACGGTAGGGCAAGAATAAGCAGGTGCCGTAATAGAATGTGTGGCCAAGGAAGGGAGAGTCTGGAATCTGACAACAGGGTTATCTCCCCCTGCTCTATGGAGGAATGGCTTATATTTGTGCTGACTCTTTTGTTCGCTTCCCTCCTGCTCCTGGTGAAAGCTGTGCCTTTGGTTGGCAGCCCCGAACTTGCAGTACGCCAGAGGAAGAGTTATCAGAAGCTTAGAAAGCTACCTATGGAAGGTGGTCAGACTCTGCTTCTCAGACTCTTATGAAGAGCTGGTTAATGTTCATCTCCCGTGCACTTGAGTCAATGTTACACCAGGGAGTGGAGGCATAAGGCGACCTCGAAGGCTTTCCATGGTGGTAGAAGCCAGTAGGCTCCCCTGAGTGAGGAACTGCCACCTTTCTGGGCCTTACAACATGACCCAGTTGTGACATCTCCAGTGCTGGAATCTCCATTACTTGTTTGCTATCTGTCTCCCGCTCTAGGAAGAGATGCTGAACTTGAGACTTCACTGTTATCAGCCCACTCATCCGGCAGTGCGGCTTGTAGTGTGTGAACACAGAAAAGCCTACGAAGTGTCACAAAAACAACTTCCACGGCTCCTGCCTTCCCAGTGAGAGACAACGGCTATACTAGTCCCTGGGTTGTGCCGTGATCTGGCAGGGAAAAAAGCTCGTGGAATTTTTAGCTTTGGGAAAAGGGAAGAAAGAGGATGAAGTTAGGCCTAGAGTTGTTCAGCTCCCTGAATTTTCTGGGTTCGAATCTGATAGATGGTTCGAAAGACTATAAATAAGGTGATGGGTTGTGGTAGCAAGAACTATGAGCACAGGACGTCCAATTTACAGAGCAAGAACAAAGAGCGGAATAAACATCAACACGAGGGAGTAATGATGTCAGAATTGCCTCCACCACTCTCCCCTCACCCTCTCCTCTTTGTCCTTCAAGCCCAGGGTCATCTACCAGATCCTGAGGAAAAACGTTTATTCTCCATCGGCGTGGTATGTGCCTTTTGTCATCACTTTGGGCTCCATATTGTTTCTGGGCCTCCTGGTGTCCCTGATCGTCCTGTTGGCCAAAGCCATTTACAGACACTGTCCCTGCAAGACCGGCAAGCACCAGGAGCCTCTGTAAGTTGTCAGTGGGCCGGGCCCTTTCCACCACTTCCTTTAGGTCACTGTTTCCAGTGATGTCAGGAGAAGGGAAGAGAAAGAATCAGGATTTCTCTACAGGGTGGAGGGTGAAGGAAGTGAAAGGAAATACGGGGGAAGGAACCCTGGTAGCCTCTTCATCATCTGCTGGGCTAGGAAACTTCTCCTGTGGTTTTCGCAGGCACCTGCCCTGTCCTTGGTGCCCTCTCAGTGAAATTGAGGCTTCAACCCTTTGGTGACCTTGCCCTGGATACAATCTTCGGAAAAAAGCCTGGTGTGAGGAGGGAGAGAATGTGCCGTGCTCTTTTTGTAGAATATTTAAAGGATGGAATGGAATTAGAGGAAGCCCGAAAAACTGATAAGGGAATTAAGCTTTTGGCTCCAGCGACTCAACTGGGCTTTTGTGCGACTAAATCATCATTGTTCTTCCGCGTGTGGATGGATCTCTCACTCTCGAGGGCTATAAACACGGGGCTGTTTCCGCTCCCTCCTGTTCTCGCCTGCTCACTACTCAGCCTCTTATGGCGACACTCTGCTGAGTGTCTCTTACTGGCTAAGGTGAGGTACAGAGTGAGGAGAAGAGAGCTCTAGATTCTTACGAACTTCCTCCATTGCCGGTTTCTTGGGTCTCAGTGGCTCTCACACTGAGAGCGTCATGGTTCTGAGCCTGGGCTTCGGAGTAAGACAAGGCCTGGGTTCCAATCTTGGCTCTACCATTTTCTAGGTCTGTGGCTTTGTGCGAATAATAACGTCTGTGAATCTCGATTTCCTGAGCCCAAAACTAAACAATTAAATGAGCAAATGCAAAGAAAGCACTTAGCACTGTTCCTGATGTACAGAACAGGCTTAATACACTATTTTTTAAAATCTTGCTGCATTATGTTTCATGGCTGAGTCCCAGTGAGCTCAGAATTCTAGATTCCAAGTTTAGCTCCGTCCCAAGCATCTTGGGATGTTAGAATGTCAGTTTTGGAGTTTCTCATTGGCAAAAAGAAGGGATGATAAGACTCCTGTGCCTTTTAAAGGTATCCTGAAGATTAGTACTGTCTCATAATTTAAAATGTAGGGATGAAAGACTCTGTATAAAAGCATGAGGCTTTAGCAGAAAGATGCGCGTTGCCTTTTGCCATATTTATTGGGGAAGTTCGTTGCTATTGGCAACCTTGACTTCAAGGTAAGAAATCCTTGAGCATCTGCTGAAATTAAAAAAGGCATTTGTGTTTGGACTACTTGCAAATTGATTTGAAAAAAAAATTGGCTCCAAAAGAGTGGCGCTTAAGCTTGTAAGGATGGTGGTACACCGTAAGGGGATTTCAGCAAAAGTTCTTAAAGGAAGTAATCCAACAGACATTGCAACTCACATTCAATTTGTAGTTAAATGATAAATACGCACCTTGAACTTGGTTGCCTTACCTTATGTTCTAAATATTTATTGTTTTCAACATGGCTGACTTAAAGAAGAAAAACAACCTAGTGATTCAGACTCAGGCCTGGGCTCTCTGGAAATTAGTTATATCATGTGGCAGCCAACATTTGCCCAATAGCAAAGCAGAATAAAATCAGAGTCACAGAATTATAGAGTCAGAGGTTATCGTGGGAGTGGTCTTAGAATCCAAGTCCGGCTCTTCCTGTTCCAGGAAACCAGGGTTTAACTGCCAGCCCTCCAACCTTCGGCTGTGAGCCACACATTCTGCTCAGCTGGCTGCTGGCGAGAAAAATGGGCAAGGGAGGATCACCAGCCGATCCGTCTGATTGGGGTGGTCATGCCCTCACCAGGTGTTGTCAGAGGAAATATATTCCCTGAAGTTCTAGAAAGCAAGTTTTCAAACTTATCTGACTCCCAGAACCTGCTTAGTCCTAAACCAGTAGTGGGAGCTGCCCCTCTGTTGGGAGCAGGGGTGGGAGCACAGCCTTCACTTTAGTTAGTCCCCATCCCTGGTCCCCCTTTCAATCAACCCCTGAGTCCCGAGGAACCCAGTTGCCCAAAGGGCCCCATGCTGTTGTGTGTACGGTGCAGAATACTCTCAGATTAACTCTGGTCCATCCCTTTCTCCCCGAACAGGGTGAAGAAAGGAGGTATGTATGGTGCTTGCTCCCTTTGTTGCTGTTGTCCTTTACTTGCTCTGTTGTACTATATAAAACAGTTCCAGCTCAGCAAAGAGTCAGGGTGCAATCCTGTCTTGGTGGGTTTTCAGCCGCATCATCTGTGGATGGAATGAGACAGAGGTCAGACATTACCTCCGAAAGGGAAGGGCCGGGTGCTGGTGCCTTCGGCCCATTGGCTCTCTTGTTTTGGTCCTGTCTGTTCCTGACCCAGAGTCACCTCCGTCAGCTCAGCTTAAACACCTGGAGGTCTGCTCTGCACCAAGTGGGACACGAACGAGGAATTCTCTGGTGTGACCCCTCCTGAGGACAGCGAAGGCTCTGTATTGAACAGATGCCTCTCTTTAAAGAACAAATGACACTTCATTCTCAGGTTGTAATGGATTTGATCATTATCACAAATTGCTTAGGTCAGGCTAGCTGGAAAGGGGGCGGGGTGCAGTCAGATGCGTGGGGAGGGCCGAATGCCTTCAGAGAGTTGGTGAGTTGAGCCAGGGCCAGCCAAACCACTCCAAGCCCAAGGGATGTCACCAACTGGTGAACGTTATTGCCTCCAGGAGAATCCAGGCTGTGGGGAGAGACAGGACAAAGAACTGGAGAGTGTGTTTTCAAAAGATGATAGCTGTAACCACTCGGATCCATAGGCGTGTGTGTCTGTCATGCACAAGGCATGACATTTCTAAGCAGGGTTAGAAATTTGATTACAATGGTTATTGATCATATCGAATGAGATGGGTTCAATAAGTAAGGGTTTCGCAAACTACCTCCCACCTTAGGTACTTTTTTAAAGGGCACAGGAATGGATGCAAAGCATCCCCATTGCAATGAACACACGTATCCATCCAATCTTTCTTTCTTACCCAGAAAGCCATTTAAAGGCTAATTCCTAGGTCCGGTGGTAACAATAAGCTGGAAAAAGTAAAAGAATTTTTAAAAATTTTGTCTTATATGTGTATGTGTATGTGCACGCGTATTCTTCTGAGAAGATGGAAAGCTGTCAACAAACATGTCTGCAGGCAGAAAATTCTTTGCTGTGTCTGCAGTACTGATTTCAAAGCCTGTTTAAGAGAAATCTCATTGTGTGGATAGCATTTTAAGGTCAATTTAGTGTCCAAGAAGCTTAACTTCTGCCTGCTCTATTCCCTGCAGAAATGAAGACTCCGGAGAGAAAAGTGGTGGCAGTGAGTACGGTTGGCCCCGGGGCACCTGACTTGGGGGTGGGTGGCCAAAGGCTCCCATCCCCTCCCAGGCAGACCTTGCCACCGCCTCATGGGGGTAGTTATCATTCGGGGAGAGGCTGGTCTTTGGCCACTGGAACAGATTGCTCTGTGACGAACTCCTGATAGAATTTGTTCCCCCCGCTGAACACGTCTGCTGATGTATTAGCAGAAGAACAGGATTCCATAAATATTAAATAGTGATGTTTATTATCTACACCAACTCTCTTGGAGAGTGAGTTGGGGGAGAGAAGCTTAAAGACCAGAACTGGTGCTATAGGCTTCAAGGGTATTTATTTTTTCTTTGCTCTTCCACAACCTTGCAGAAAAGTGATAGAGAGAGAACGCTGCTTGGGTCCAGGGTTGGCGCTGCCCACTTGGCCACGTGACCTTGCAGACTCCCTCAGGCTCTTAAGCTTTAGGATTCTCATCTGTGGAATAGGAGTGAGAACACCTGCCCGAGATAACAGATGGGGAAATGTTTTGAACACTGTTGAGTCACCCAAATGCCAAGTGTTACAGGATGCTGGAGAGTTACCGCCCCATCTTGCCTCCTTGATTTTCTTTTACTGAACCTGACCCGCCTGATCCATCACTGGGAATCGATGGAACTTGAAAGTGACCCCTGCAGCTCTCCCCCACCCCCTAATGATAAGACTTTGTTATGCCCCAAGACCCTAAATTTGGGGAAGAGTATGCACAACGAGGAGGACAAGCCAGTGCACTGGAATGCTTGCTTTGGGCCCTCACCTGAGTGTTTCCACGTATCCGTCTACCTGATAATGGGAGGCAGAGGCCTCTCTTGTCTCCCCAGGTCTCATTGTCTAAGGCAAGTACCTTTGGTGATGCCACTCGGAGACTGCCTTAGAAATAGGTAATATCAAATTAATCGCTTAAATGAGTAAACCCCCAAGACCACAAACAGTGTGGCTGCTGAGCTGATCAGGGGGATGAAGCCCGTATAGTCTGCATTTCCTCTCTTTTCAGAGCTGGGGAGCTGCGGGCAAGGTGATGGCTTATGTGATGAAACTGGGGGTGAGAAGCGCCACTACACTCCAAACACTGTCCCCATCAGCTGCTAAAGAATGGCACCATGGGAGGGCACCATGGGAGGGAAGGAGGTGTTTCCATGGGGACAGAGGTCAGGTCCTGGAGGGTGGTGCAGAGCACACATCAGGGGAAGACAAAGATATGGAGCCCAGGCCAACATTGCATTGGCCTACGTGAGGGGACACAGCCAGAGCCCAGGATTGGGAGCCCGCCCGTGGTGCTCGTCTGTGCCTGCCTTGCATATCTGTCTGGCAGAGTCCACAATGTAGATCTTAGCCGGCATTGTGTGGTGTTTCTGCACTTCCTTCTGTGCAGCTTAAGTGTCATTTACTCAGGATGCTTTCCTACCCGCAAGGTCTGGATTAAACATCCTCTTCTCTCTCCCTCCTGTGCCCCCATGGCATCCTATATTCTCCACGGTAGCCCTTAGCACTGTTTTGTAGCGCCTGTTTGTCAGTGGCTCCCATTCAATTGCAAGCTTTGTGTGGGTAGGAACCGTGCCTGCCTGGTTCACGCTGTGTCCCCAGCATCTAGCACGGCCTGTTAAATAAATGTCGAGAAAGCCCTGGGTAAGGAATGTGAGCTGTGAGGATGAGTGGCCTTGCCTGGGGGGAGGAGTGTAGGGTTGTGCTTGAAGCTGTCTCTTTCTTCTCCTTAGGAAACAATCCAGATGAACACTGTCTTTGATGGAGAAGCCATAGACCCGGGTAATTAGGTGGCAGTGCCACCCACAAGGGTGTTTTCCATATTCCAGGCTGGTGGAGTCATGGGGCATCTTATCCAATTTCCTGCTCTTGATTCAGTCTGTCAATCCATTTGGTTATGTTGCCCCTCAGTGCTGGCCCTTGTAGGCACAAGGTCGTGGGTGAGGCCTCAGAGGGTTTCCACCTAAAGGCTTCCACTCAGGGACCACACCTGTGTCTAGATTCCATCCTGAAATCATGAACCAATTCAGGGAATTGGTGGCATTCAAGAACCCACATTTTTTCCCTGCTCATTGGGACTCAACCTCCCCCCTCCTTTCTGAATGCTTCTAGTACCATCCTATTGGTGGTGAGAGAGATGGAGGCATGGCGAGCTCGGCTTCTTTTTTTCGTAGATCAGGGCCAAGAATTTCTTCTTGGTCGGCAAGAGGAACATAAGGCAAAGCTGGCCTCCAGGGCTCTCATCACCCCCACGAAATCAGCTCCAAATTTAGCTCCTTTACATGCATCCCTCCGCTTACAAAGGCTCAATTATAGACGTGAATAAAAGGAAGGAAACCAGAGTCAGGAGGCAAGCGTGTTGGCTCCCTGCCACCCTCCATTGCAGTCCTCCTCTGAAGGAGGATGGCTCCTCTCCAGGAGAGGCTGCTGCTGCCGGGATTAAATTTCCCTCTATTATTAGGGACTTGTTACCATAATGTGCCCACATTAGCATAAGTGCCGGTGGGATCCTCTGCCGAGAGGCCACTCATGTGGCATGGAAATGGCAGGAGCTGGGGGCTCATCTTGAAACTCGATCTTCTGGGGAAAAAGCCAGGGAGGACCCGGGCTGTTATCCTGCGTTTGTGTGTCTGAGAGAAGAAAAAGGAAGAAATGAGCCAACTGGACTAATGTGAAGGAGCACGTCCATTAGCATCCACCAGCTCCACACGATAAAAATGGTTTCCTTGCATCATCTCAACTGGGGCCAGATTTGAGTGTCTGTGTCTACAAATCTCTGTGAACCTAACATCAAGAAAAATCAGTCTTTTCGTCCTTCCTTGGTGAATTCCTTTTTATATCAGGGATTCAGGGGTCTTTTAAAGCAAACACATCAGAATGTAATGGGGACGCTATCAGAAATTGAACCTAGTTGATCCGAGGCTCGCCTGGTGTTCAAGATTTATGTGGCCTTCTAATCTTGCCTCTGAGATGGCCTTGAGACTCTCCTAAATCTTTCCCTCCAGGGAGGTACGATAATTGCCACCTGTGTGCTGGAGCCCTGGAGCTCTATGGCTCGTGGAAAGGGCAGGCCAGTGAAGATTTTGCTAGTCACAAGCCTGTTTTCTATCTCAATTATTCACACCTTCTAGCGAGCTTCATCTTGCCTCTGGGGTGAGAATGGAGTAGGGTGAAGATGGGGGATGAGAGAATCATTTGAATTCCTTCATTTACCTGCTGGTTGTATATTTTTCCCCCTAGTTACCGGGGCAATATATGAATTCAACTCAAAAACTGGAGCCAGAAGGTGGAAAGATCCTTTAACCCAACTGCCAAAACGGAAGGAGTCCAGACGCCTGGGAGCTGCTTGGAGTGGAGCCACCTCTGGGAAAGAGACCGGGCCACTGAGGGGCACCAACAAGAAAGGAGATGGGCTGAGTGGCCAAGCGCAGGCTGAAGAGGCAGGCCTGGGTTCTAGAGACCAGGATGGCAAGCTGAGCACCCCCAAGAACAGAAACCCAGCCCCCATGAGCAGGGCTTTCCCCAAGCCACACCCAGAAAAGTAAACGGTGTCTGGTTGACAGGCCCACAGCGCAGCACTGCGAGGGGCCTTGACTGTCCAGCCTCACCCTAAATTCTCTGAGGGCGGGGGGGTATGCCATAGTGGTGAAAATGTGGGCAGAAAGGACTCAGAGATTCGGGGCCCCAAATGGGGCGTCAAAAACAAACAGAAAGGGGTTTGACCCCATAGTTGCCTTTTTCTCTCAGTTCTCTGTGCTTC